TATCTCAGAGAACAAAAAGAAAAATCAGGAAACTCAGAAAGCCTTAAAAATCTTTTGACTTGTTTTGCACCATTGTTTACTGTCGAATATATTCTCTACAGGTATGCCGTCAGGCGTCATTCTTCTCAACTAAAGAAATACACATGCAATATTGCACTTTTTTTCTTACTGGTATTGTCAACGATGCTAGTCGTCTGCTAGTGTGATGGGTTTCACTGTATAGATGCTACCGCGCAGTGCTCAACTAAACGAACACTGCGGAAGCAGATAAAGACTCGTCACGATAAATCAATACATTCGTAAATATATGCACCTTCGTTTGAGTGCTTAAATCAGTGTGAGGAAAAACTGACTTCTTCTTTTTTTTTGTGGACTTCTCAATTTGATTTGTGTTTTGCTTTTGATGGCATCAATGGTTCATCACAGCGTTTCTAATCATGCAATACTCCGAGCGTTTTAAGTGACTGCTGGCAGTAGCTGGAAGCGCAATGGAGACAACCGGTAAACGTTCTCAACAAAAACTAAACCAATCGAACCAAATCCAGAATAGTATCTAAGACTGTGTTTGTTCTGTAGCTAATTAAATAACGTATTCCTCACAATGCTTGTATGTGTGGCCGGGTTTTTTCTTTTCTTTTTTTTTTGTTGTGTGCATGTGTGTGTGTGTGTGTCGTCTTTTAATAGTTGTTTTCCTGTAGCGTTTCGTCTGTGGATCTGTTGACCATTGACGACATCAGTGGTACACTGTGTTGGGCTTTGTGTGCGATTCCTAACAGACTGAGACTATTGTGATCGTGTCCTTTTAAAAAGTTTTTCCACTTACAATGCCCCCTTTTAGCAGTCTGGGTTTAGCATTTGATATCCCACCCATTATACTCAACATTCGCAGCTAGCATTCCGGACAGCCATCACAAACTACTGGATCAAGTCTGAGTTTTTTGATGATTGTTATTTTTTTGTGTGGTCTTTGATTTCAGCTGTTATCTTTCGTATTTGGTTTGATATACTGGAAGGTTTTGTTTTTTATGCTTTTGTATTGGTTTATGTACTGTAGATGTCTATAGTATGCAGAACATAGCTTTCTAGAGGGTTTAAGACAGAACCTAGATAGCGTAAAACATCTAAAGTTCCTTCTGGGGGGTAAAATGCTGCGTTTTTCGCTGTTCGAGGCATCAGATCTCTGCATGTCCAATTCAAAGTGAACTATGATGTGTGCAAGTGCGGCTGCTTTTAGTTACAATGCTAGATTGAGAAAATGTAGTGACAGCTTTTTTTTATTATTATTGCTTTCTTGCTTGGCGTACAATCTAGATCTTGTCCACCGGTTTTTGACACACTAAAACGGTTGTGCACGGATTGGCAGGTTGTCTGTAGTGATTACACTAAAAGGATGTGTAAATTAAAGTCTCGGTCTACAGACATGTCTCGTATAAAAGAGAACTGATGGGATTTGTCAATACGGAAGCTTTCACGTTTTCTCCTCAGGTGATAAAATGTAATGCTGAAAACCTCTGTCCTTCATGAGCAGGACCTAATGTTCAACTTTCATTTCATTCGCTCTTGTTTTTCAATATTGCTCTGTTTACTTTTATTTATTACATGCTTTGTTTTAGGTGTGCTTTAAAATATCTTCTTTTTTCAGTACTTATGAGACTTGATTGATAATTTGATTCGATTTGTTTACCTCCAACAGAAACAACAAAAAAACCCTCCACTGCTTTTTAAATAATAAAACTGATTAAGGATTACTTGTGTTTTGGTCTTTCTTACTTTTATATTAGCAAACTGACATGATTATATGATTTCAATATATATTTTCATATATTAGATATTAAAGAGCAGCTATTGTGATCCTTTTTACAAATTGAAAATTAAGTCTGATGTCTCTAGAGAGTGTATGTGAATTTTCAGCTCAAAATGCCCCTTAAATAATGTTTTATATCTCTTTAAAACTGCCCTTTTTAAGCTTTGATCCAAATAGTGCCTTTTTGGTGACTGTCGCTTTATATTCAAATGCGTTTGTGCTCCCAGCTACAAATGCCTGTGTCAGCATAATGGCAGATTCAGAACAAGACTAATGTCTTATGCTAATGAGGTAGAGATCGTCACTGTTGGGCGGAGCTTTCCTTTTTGATGACATCTATAAAGGGAGAATATCAATTAAAATCTGCATCTGCAGACTGTTTTTATGAAGTGTGATTATAAAAAAATTAAATTAATATATTGTTACCAATAGAAGCTGGCTATATTCACAGACTGCTATCACACAATTGTGTTTAAACCCCGGATAATAGTGATTTTTGCACAATAGGTCCACTTTAAATAACATATTAAGAAGTCTTGCTTGATTTAAAATATTTTTCGCTGCTCTTTAATTATTATTCAGTATTTATGATATAACTGAGTGAAGTACTAAATAAAAACATTTCGATTTATTACAATTAATCATCATTATTATTGTTATAAATTTTAAAATTACTTGTGATTTGGTTTAACAGTGGAACATTTAGGCTGTATGGTCTTCAACATAGTTTTAAGTGTACCGTGAAGTGCTTTGTGCAATTTTGTTCGATGTGTGACAAGGGCTGGGCGATATTGCTAAAAAAAAACATCACAATATCATGTTTCATATTAATCGATATAGATAATTATTAAATATTTTTATTTATTAATTTTATTTTTAACAATCCATGTATATCAGGGTTTTTTGTTATTTGACCTTTTTATTTTAACGTACCAACATTACTCAATCAAAAAGTCAAGTTTAATAGTCAAAATCAAAAATATTTAAACAAAATATCTGATTTCTTAATATTAAAACAATCATACGTGTTTAAAAGATCCTTAAACTTGATAAAACGTTACAAAATGTATGTAGAGGTAGAAGTAGATGAACATCTGTAGGGTGTCAAAACTTATACAGTAAACCTCAGACTCTGTAAACAAACAAACTATGATAATCAAATCTGAGCAATCAAGTGAAAGAACCAGCAATCATTATAAATGCATACTGCAACATTACAAATTGTGAAGTTGAATGATTATACTACTATGCTACCACTATGCTAAAAAATCTGTCAGATGAGGAGCTAGTGGCTGGGCTGCACAAGAAAAGAAACCAAAAAGCCACTCTGGCGACATCTTACATCCTTTTTTTTTATTTTCGCATGTGTTGTTATTCTTATCCGAAGTGACAAGCGCGAGCACGTGGTTTCCTGCACCATTTTCTATGGCGTCTATTAGGCGTCTATTATATTTCTATTAGGCTACCATTAAGCAATTTCATTAATGTCAAACGGAAAAACCATTGCTGAAGCTCCGATGCAAGTTTATGGAGAAAAGTAAAAAGTGCTGCAGTGATTGGATGCACTGTGTTTGTCTGAAGTAATTAGTTTGCATACTGAAATGTGTGTATTCCATACAAAATGTGAAGCAGATTGGTTAGTTCTACTTACATGAATCGATGTGCACACGCAGCATTCGGAAAGGTTCCAATGTTTTTAACTAGGTGTACCTGGAAAATGTTAGGTGTGACGTCAAGCGAAGCGGCTTCCAGGTCCAAGCACTCTATTTAACTGTATAGGGAGGCTCAACAAATGCTAATAATTAATGTTTGCAAAGCGATGTAATACTTTCAAAAATCATGATCGCAATATATACAGTTGAAGTCAGAATTATTAGCCCCCCTGAATTATTAGTTTTGTTTATTTTTTTCCCCAATTTCAGTTTAACGGCGGGAAGATTTTTCTCAACACATTTCTAAACATAATAGTTTTAATAACTCATTTCTGATAACTGATTTATTTTATCTTTGCCATGATGACAGTAAATAATATTTGACTAGATATTTTCAAGACACTTCTACACAGCTTCAAAGGACATTTAAAGGCTTAATTAGGTTAACTAGGCAGGTTAGGGTAATTAGGCAAGTTATTAAATATATATATATATATATATATATATATATATATATATATATATATATATATATATATATATATATATATATATAAATATAGCTAAGGGGCTAATAATATTGACTTTAAAATGTTTATTAAAAAATGTAAAACTTCTTTCATTTTGGCCTAAATAAAACAAACACTTTATTTGTATTAAATAAGACTTTCTGTGGAAGAAAAAATATTATCAGACAAACTGTGAAAATGTCCATCATTTGGGAAATATTTAAAATAAAGATTATGTGGATCGCGGATAAAAGTGAAGAGCGGGGGTGGGGGGGGGGTTGTTTAACGGGCCTTTCATAATGTCTCTAATAGTCCCTAAAAGTATGGGCCCTTACAATCATCCTAACTTTACGCCCTCTAGCGGCGCCCCTGCCAATTAGGTAGGTAGGGCGATATTACAGCTTCATATCACACATGGGTAGCATATTGCGTCATCAAAAGGTTTTTGAATGGGAGGTAGAACAATCTCACAAGGTGACAAATCGACAGAACATGTTTGGTTTTTTTTTTATAGAAAACAGCAAATATGTTTAATAATATTTTACTAGACTACTTGGAATGGCATGAGGGTAAGCAATTAACAGAAATTAAATTTTTGGGTTAAGTCCATAGTTTGGTCACTGAAACAGGGGGGTTTGGGGGGAGGGTGAGAAACGTCAAAACAACATGTATGGGGGTATAGCCCTCTAAATAGTGAGAAATGGTTTGCTCTGATCTGTATCTTAATATTAAAAATTAACAGATAATTTAAATATACATTCGACCACCCCTAACGGCCCATACCACTGTGAATGTATAATGCGCCAATCCGACTGCGAGAGAAAAAAATTCAACAGTCTGAAAATGGCGGTTCTAGAGCACCCATAGACTGGTAAGTGTTAAAGACACTTTTCTTGTAATATAGGTGTTTGTTTTGACAAATAGCCTTAAGGTAAAGTCAAATTTGCTGCCTAGTTTGTATAGTTTAACCTACAGAAACATAAAATTGCTAATAAGAGACTGTGGGTCAGAATACACTCAATACTCCAGAAAATACTGAAAACTTAAATACGTTTTGTTATTGAAATAGATGTAATTTAAATAAGTCATAATTTACTGAAGCATCTATTATACGAAGCACTCCCCCCGGTCGTCAATGTAGATAATTAAATAGTCTCTCAATAGGATAGCTTCAGAGTTCATCCTTTGGGCTGCTCTCAGAGACAGATGTGGTGGTTTTTCCTCCACGGATGCGATTACGATCCCAGTCAGTGGACACGGTCTCGTCATCCCAGATGCTGGAGGTCTCCGTGTCACTGAAATAGCCTGCTTCTCCAGTGTAATGTGTGGGAAACAGCAGCAAGGGTTGAACGGAGAAAGCCTTCAAGTTTCTCAATTGAAAATGAGACATGTATTCCTTCCTGCAGACAGAGGGCATACTAGAGTCACATCATAAAAAGAAATAAACAAAATATAGCTTTGTAAATGTCATTATTTTTACAAGACGTCTTATCTAACATGTTACATTTATTCATTTGATCTTGTTATTAATGTGGAACACAAAAGAAGAGATTTTGATGAATGTTGGAAACCATTGTCTTCCAGTAGAGAAAAGGAAATGGGATGGAGGCTACTGTTTTTACAATTCATCAAAATATCTTCTTTTGTGCTCAACAGAGGAAATGGAAATTTTTGGAACAAATGATCGAGGGATAAGTAAAGGAGCAATAGGGTATATGCCGAGCTAGTGCTGTTCCCATGCTGATTCACTTCCGGTGACCTGTTATTGTGAACTTTTTCGATTTTATACGGTTCCTTATACAGCATCGATGTTGTAATGTCATTAAAATACATTCAGTTAAATAAACTTTAGCATTTATTAAGTTGCTTAAGCGTAAACCTTGACAAAAAACTGTTTACTCGCATGCGCCCGCCAGAATTGGCAGGCTAACGCAGAAGCTCCATTGAATATACTGTGGTAAAATAAATGCTCATATTATAAAGATATGGTGGGGAAAATGTAATTTAATGCAGTGCTTCTTGTACAATCTGAGACCCACTTTAAATGGGATATCACTCAGCTAGTGGAGATCGCTGATTTTTAAAGAAAACAGACCTTAAACACACCGGATTTTGCATTGGCATTCAATTCGCTGGAAGCGCTTAACCCAGGTTACTGGCAAATTAAAAGTCCTATTAGCATGCTTCGGCACATACCCCATTCAGATGCCACATTATGGATGTGACATTTGCAGTGAAAACTCTACATAAATTCACATAGAAAATGTATGTTTACATTTACATTTAACATTATATTGAAACTTTTGTTTATATTTTCCAGAACAACTGACTACAGAGTTAAGGGACCAGAAAAATATCAATCTGCAAACATGTTTTGTACTTTAAATGAGGAAAATAAACATGCGTTATGGATGTGACCAAAAAAAAGTCTGCAGGTTTACAGTATACAACATACTTTGTTGAAATTATGTGAATTTAACTGCACCTACCAAAGAAAATAATAATAATTAAAATGATAAGAGTTGTCTCACTATAGAACAAACATGATTGGTTTTATTTAATTTAATATTTTTACATTTATGAGCAAAAAGTGTTGTTATGGATGTGAAATCTCTCCGTTATGGATGTGACTGATGTGAAATAGCCACTTGTGTGATTTTGGTAAACCAAACAGAACAGTTTGAAAACATTGACAGATGCATTTTTGAGTATTTCTAAAGTCCTGAAAAACACTTACCCCCCCCCCCAACACACACACACACACACACACACACACCCTCCAAAAAAAAAAAAAAAAAAAACAGAAACAGTTTTGGTATTTTGGTGAAAACTTAAATTTTTTTTGTTCATGGTTTTTACTGGTTTTAAAATTCCTCAAAATGTCTTCCTTTGTGTTCAACAGAGGAAATGGAAATGTTTGGAACAAGTGAGGGATAAGTAAATGATGACTGAATTTGTCATAATGTCAATTTATCTTGAAAATGTGATGCAAAGCCGCTAAATTGAAATAATGTCAGAATTCGATCATTTATGTCATGTAAACGTTTCGTGGTTCAGTATACTATGCCACCTATTATTATCGCAGACACTAATAAATATATATAAAAACCCCTGTGTGTCTTTATGAACTTTTCCATGGAAACCTTGATAGATGTATATCCCATCCATCCAATCTAGCTAAACATTACTGTAAAAGGAACCTCATGACATTGAAAATAGTCACCAGCAGTTTATTACTGACTGAAAAACCTTTGCCATGTATGTAGCCAATTGCCAACATCTACCAGTGCTTACTTGGGGTGCTTGTTGAACATAACAGGTAGAAACTCGTCAACGGGCAGCATCTTGCTGAGAGGCTGAGCTTCCAGAAGTATCTTTGCTCCTTGCAGTGAAAGGGCATATCCCAATGTCCAATACGAGTAATCTGGGCTCACCAGGTTCTTCACTCCCTCCACCCAGCGCTCCGGATGCTTGATTTGCAAACGCTTACGTCCCACATAACTTGAAGAGAAAAATAAAAATGGGGAAATAATCAGTAAATATGAAAATTACTTATTAACGATGACATTTCGGTTTTATTTTGGTTTCATTTTGGACTTAAAGGTTCACGAAACACCAAAACTTTTTTTGAGCTGTTGACAGTCGTATATGTGTCCCACACTGAGAAAAACACTATTAGGACACCTATATTTCACTAAAAAGTGTAAATTGGTTGTTTTTGCATTATTTCAAGCAAATTCGTACTTCCGGTTTGAAACGAATTTTTGAAGCTGCGTCACGGCTATGAGATAATAGCGTGTATTCCAGCGTGCAGACTGGGCGTCTGTGCCAGAGAGAGTCTTATTACGTCTTACAGTGTGCTGCATTAATGCATGAGTAAGGCTTGGTTCAAACCAATCAGCGCGCTCTATTGTGCAACTTCATTAATATTCATTACTGTCACAGTGTTTAGACGACAGAGACGCCACGTTGTGTTGGCAAAACAAGCGTGAAGTGTTGCTTTTATAGTTTTCTGCAGTTAAGTTTCGTTTTCATTTTCTCTCTATGAGAGCGCAGCTGGAGTCACGTGTGGATTAACAGTGTACGCGACGCTCGACAACAATAACTTACGTGTCTAAGGAGGATTATTGTTTACCTGAGAGCTGTTCTCATCTGCAAACGCTGAGATCCGGATTCGCTTGTAGTCTCCTCTTAATAAAGACGCGGCTCTAGTTGCTGGTGATTGTCCTGTCTCTACAGATTTGGTAAGTGAGTGACCAGCGCTCTTTGTTTATTCAGTTTGTTCGTATCGAACTAACTATTGCACCGAGTGTCAACATGTTAGCACCACAACTAAACTATTACCATCGTGTTGGATTTTCACCACATTTTGTGACCGGAATAACACACGCGGCTTTCTGACGCTACCTGCCGTGTTCATCTAAGTTTCCGGGAAATGCGGAGGGTTTTTTTCTCTCATTCGCCGTGCGGTATCAAACATTGCATGAAAAATACACGCTTAGAGCAGTTTCTTGAATCAAATATCTCGTTTGTCGCGAGGGACATGAATGAATTCCCTGAATGAAAGAGCCAAACTGCAGTTAAAGTCCAACATTTAATAATTGGGCAAATAATTCGACTACAGATGTCCATGTAAACACAGTCACTTTATCCCTTGTGTGTGTGTGTGTGTGTGTGTGTGTGTGTGTGTGTGTGTGTTTGTGTGTGTGTGTGTGTGTGTGTGTGTGTGTGTGTGTTTTGACTCTGAAAGTCAGCGCGTGCCCAAATAGACACTCCCACACCATGCCTCTTTTCTTTCTCTGACACTCCCCCCTAAACAGAGCTGGACACGCCCACTTTTCTGACTTTTTCCAAAGTAGAGGTGTGAAAACACCCTGCTGAAACGAGGGGGTTTCATGGCCCTTTAAAAATGATCATTTACCACATAGACTTGGAGGTCATTCATTATCCTGCAGAGCTTAGCTCCAATCGAACGCACCTAACCTAGCTAATCAAGCTTGTAATTGATAGTTTTCAGTCACATGACCTGTGCAGAGACCTGGCGGGCAAAAAAATTGTGGTTCGTAATAGCAGCTACATGGGATCTCAATAGAAACGCAGCACAAACCGGTCATTTTCCATCTGTTTCAAGCTACTAACATTTGAATCACATATCAACAGAACAGAATCACCATATGATCACAAACTGTAAAGTGTGGGCACTTGCAATCTATATACTGCACCCGCAGTCATTTAATGGTTTGAAGTTGTCGCAGGAACTGCGTCACCAAATTCTTGGTTTGACATTCATGGCAGCTAAAGTCACACTGCTGGAAAGTGTTTGAAATCTTCTGACAAAATCTGATCGCAACGGCCATTAAGTGGCTGTTGGTGAACATGTCAAACCTATCAAAAGCCTAGGATTCCAGGAATCTTAAGACCGTGGAAGGAGCTAGAACTGGATCCAGAAACGAGAACTGTAAAATTATTATCACAACTCACATTAAGTCCCACTGGAGGCCTGATCGCTTCACATCCTCCATGATGGTGTTGAGGCGGCTCTTAAAGTTTGTCTCAAACCTGACATCGTCCTCCAGTACAAGCACCTGCTGTTGCTGGAGCTCCACCACCTGTGGGCCACAAACAGCAAGAAGAGTTTATAGATGTGGACACACACATTTAAGAGATAGTTCAGCCAAAACTTTTATTCAGAATTGCGGTTAATTTAGGGCATATTCACACTATGCTATCCGAACCGTGCCCAGGCCCGTTTGCCGGATCGTTTGAGAAGTGTGAGGCGGTATCCACACTAAGTACAGTTGCCTCGAACCGGGCCAAAGCACGCTTGTCCCCCGTCCCGTCTCCCCCGACGGCCCGCACTCACACCACAATCGGGCCTCGGCACGCTTACGTCATCGCTGCTGCGCTGTTCAGTGAGAAGCGCTCTCTCACTCAGCAGCACAGTGGAGATTTCTGTAGTTATATCGTTTCAGTTGTTTGATATGCAGTGACATGCAGTCAAATATTTCGCCAAACAGTCCTTAGGGACACGGTGACACACAGTCAGATATTTCGACGAACAGATCCACTACTTTTGGCGCTCATAAACAATTATAAAGCCCTCGTGCTGCAGGAATGAGGAGATCTGCTGAAGGTGCGCAGCTGTCGTGCAGTGAGGAGTTTGCGTCTTTAATAATCTATGACAGTTTGCGTTCACTGAACAGTAAGAATGATTCATAAATCCATATGAAACAGCCCCTTTAAAGTCACGTCTCGCTTTCAGTTTCGGGCTTTGGTGTGTTTTGCACTCACACTACAAACGTACCGCGCCAAAGCCCAAGTGAGCCGCACTCAGGCCCACCTCTTCCAACCGGGCCAGAACCGGCCAAGTGAACTGTGCTTGAGCCCGATTCAGCGCACTCACACTTCTCAAACGATCCGGGAAACGGGCCTGGGCACGGTACGGATGGCATAGTGTGAGTAGGCTCTGAGTGCTCTGAATCTGGCTCAGGTGCGGTTCATTTGAACGGCCCTGGCCTGGTTGGAAGAGGTGTGCCAGAGCGTGGTTCACTTGGGCGCGGTACGCTTGTAGTGTAAGTGCAAAGCGTGCCTGAGCCTGAAACTGAAACCGAGACGTGACTTTTAAGGGGCTGTTTTATATGAATTTTTTAATAATTCTTACTGTTCAATGAACGCAAACTGTCGTAGGTTATTAAAGTTGCAAACCCCTCACTGCACGACAGCTGCACCTGCAGCAAATCCTTCTAATTCCTGCAGCACGAGGACTTTATGATTGTTTTTGAGCGTCAAAAGTGGCCGATCTGTTCGGCGAAATATTTGACTGCCTGTCACTGCATCACAAAGGACTAAACCGATATAACTCAAGAAATTTTCACTGTTCAGTGCTTACTGAACAGCGTATCATCAATGACGTAAGCGTGCTCAGACCGGACTACGATGTGAGTGCCGGCCGTCGGGGGAGACGGGCAGGGGGACAAGAAGGGCTTCGGCCCGGTTCAAGGCAACTGTACATAGTGTAAATATGCCCTTACTCACGATTAGGCCTTAAGAAATAGGAACTGTTTTCTTCAGGAAATCAGAGGCTCACTATTTATATTAAGTGGCCATAATTAACAAAGTACAATGTACTTATTATGCTCAAATTGCAGCACTTCTGGTGCTATGGACCCTTTTCACATTTAAAGGTCATCAGCATCTTAAATCCTTGAAAGTTTTTAACATTATTTTCTTTTAAACATGTACATTTATATGTATTCACATATCACATATGTATTGTATCATCTTTAGATAAAAAAAAATGAATGTTTGAATGAAACAAAATTACAAAGAATTAATTACCGCTCGTGCGCTGCGTTTGAAATGCAGTGCCTAAATAAATAAATTTGAGATTGTTCTTTCCTCAGGCTGCTAAAAGTCTTGAAAAATGCCATTGTGAAGTTTTTTTTTTATTATTTTAGCTAATAGGGTTGTTTTTGTACTCTGCCATTCACTGCGCTCTAAGTTTACCTTACTATGACGACTTCAGTTGCTGAGAAACCCAAAGATTTGAAAAGGGTCCATTGAGGTGGAAAACGGGTAAGGTGAGTGACCATTTTGGTGGTATGGATAGGTTTAAAGGTGGGTTAAAGTGTACAGGAAGGATCAGTAGTGTAATTCTAGATGTAACTATAGGAATTAATTACAAATATACAATAAAAAATATATATATATATATTTTGCTGCTTTTTTAAACCACTTGAGTGGTTTTTTGAGTGGATGTTAAAGTTGCTGTTCAATACACTTAAATTTGTAAAAACAATTTGTGTTGAGACAATGACAAATTTAAATACAAGTACATAGTAAATAAGGCCACCTAAGATAAAGTGGGACCTTCAAGACACTACAAATTAGATTTTATTTATCTTGTTTTTTTTTTTTTTATAAAAAAACAAACAATTGTGGACTAATTTTAAATGGCATTTAAAGGATAAAAATCTTGAAAACGGTGCTAGAAAAATAATCTCTGTTGCCGTAAGTGGAGAAATATAAATAATTGACACTTTAATGACATTTTTGTTCTCTTAAAGAGATGTTCAAAATAAAAACGTACTTGTTTTTTCACCCTATTGAACACTAAAGAAGACATTTTGAGGAAAGCTGAAAACCTGTAGCCATTGACTTCCATAGTAGAAAAAACAAAAGTATGGAAATACTATCAATTGTTACAGGTTTCCAGCTTTCTCCAGCTTTTGTGTAAAAGGTAAAGGGTAAAAGTAAAAGGTGTGAAAATCATGGCAAAATGTTCATTTTTGGGTGAACCAAAAATGTGAATTTTTTTTTAAATTGACCCACAAATATGTGGTTAAAATGTAGAGTTTTTGTAGAAGCTGATTGTAATGCATTCCTCTTTCCTTTGTACCTTTTTCCAGATGTTATAATGACTAAGGAAGCAGCCAATTTCCCCCTTAGTCAGCACTCGGTCAGAGTACGGATCTTTAAAACCAGGAAGCATCTCAATTCCTAAAGTCCTGAGCTGAGTTGAATTCATGGCTCTGAGGAGAAACAGAAAGAAGTCATTTTTGACAGCGGCATGTTGTGTAACTGTAAGATATAATTAATATTCAATATACAAATTAAATGAAGAAGAGTGGGTTATAATATCATACTTGCCATCCACCGCATCGGTAAGGGTGACGTCTATGCCCAGGACTTCCAGCGAGCGCAGCATACGATCTCTACGATCTTCCCGACGCTTCAGATTGATCAGGTAGACCTTAAAGGAGGAACGGATATGACACAAAAAAATTCATTTAATGTGAGTATTAACACAAAAACTGAATATGTGACAACATTCTATTGCAATTGTCTGCATCTATACCTGATTGAAAGCCATGGTGTCTTTGGGTTTGGAGACAATGTGCAGATACTGTGAAGTTTCCATTTTAAAGTCAACTGTGGAAAGATGAACTTCAGATTATTTCTCTTTTAACCACAAATGAAATATTTTTTTCTGGCAGAAAGATATTCATAAGAGATATGACATCATACAATAGTGCTTTGTATTTCTTTTTTTTAAAAACAACCTAATTAACATCTACAGTTCATCCGGAAAGTATTCATAGTGCTTTACTTTTTCCACATTTTTAAATTTTTTTTATTATGTGTTACAGCTTTATTCCAAAATGGATTAAATTCATTTATTTCCTCAAAATTTACATGCAGTACCCCATAATGACAATGTGAAAAAATTATTTTTTTTGAAATTGTTGCAATTTATTAAAAATAAAAAAGCTGGGGTGACGCAGTGGCGAAGTGGGTAGCACGTTCGCCTCACAGCAAGAAGGTCGCTAGTTCGATCCTCGGCTCAGTTGGCATTTCTGTGTGGAGTTTGCATGTTCTCCCTGCGTTCGCGTGGGTTTCCTCCGGGTGCTCTGGTTTCCCCCACAGTCCAAAGACATGTGGTACAGGTGAATCGGGTAGGCTAAATTGTCTGTAATGTATAAGTGTATGTGTGTGTGTGTGTATGTTTCCCGGAGATGGGTTGCGGCTGGAAGCGCATCCACTGCGTAAAAACTAGCTGGATAAGTTGGTGGTTAACTCCGCTGTGGCGACCCCGGATTGATAAAGGGACTAAGCCGACAAGAAAATGAATGAATGAATAAAAAAGCTGAAAAATCACATGTACAACAGTATTGACAGCCTTTACTCTGAAACTCTAAATTGTGCTCAGGTACATTCTGTTTCCACTGATCATTCTTGAGATGTTTCAGCAGCTTCATTGGAGTTCACTTGTGGTCAATTCAGTTGATTTGAAAAGGCATAAACATGTCTATATAAGGTCCCAGGGTTGACAGTGCATGTCAAAGCACAAACCAATAGGGAGGTAACAATATTGTAAATACCGTCATACCGCAATAGCAATTTCTTTCAATATTACCGTGGGTGCGACTCAAAAAGATCATAAGTTTTTTGGTTGAAAGTTTGCTTAGGCGAATGGAGCGAATGGGAGGTAGCGGAAACTACAATTTTCATCAGCCTCGGCATGGTCATCATCCTTTGCGGTCTGTTGTCACTACAGATCCAGTAATGCAGAAATGGAGGGTGCTGCTAGTAGCGAGGAAGAAAAAGAGCTGGACATGATCGAACCTAAAGTGGGTTTTAAATCAGATGTGTGGAAGCATTTCAGTTTCTCTCTGGAAAGAAACAAGAAAGAAGAAAAGGTGACAGAAAAAAAAGGGTATGCAGGCACTGCCAGACTGTGCTAAAATACAAGTCGGGGAATACGACTAACATGATGAGGATTCTTTTAGTCAAGGGGACAGCAGAACACAGCACACTGCTCAGATTGATGGAGACATTGACTTGTACCACCAAGAGACCTCTATCTCACTCATGGCTTGTCCTTTCGAGTGATGTTTTTTTTTTTACATGGTTTAATATTTTTTTGTTATTAAAATTGAATAATTTAAGTTCCTGTTTGAAAGTTTGCAGATAGATAATTTGTATGTCATTGATCTGTTCAGTGTTGAGGTAACCTGAACCAGACCAGTGCAGGGACCGTCCAAAGGGCATGTGCAGGATAAATTTTTTGAAGAGGGATGGGGAATTGGTGCTGTCGCGCGCGTACTGGTCAGCTGTGTTGTCGCGCGCGTAATCAAGAGCGGTGTTGTCGCGCGCCTATCGAGGGGCGGGACCGAGGGTGTGCCGCGTTGCTTTTGATCATTTTGGAAGGGCATTTTCTATCCAAGACTAAAAAGGGCATGTGCACTGCACAGGTTGAGCCCTATGTGTGCACGTGCCTGACCTGAACATTCTAGCACTTCTTTTGAGTCTCTTTAATAGTTTTGTTTTTCCTTTAAATGATTCAATAAATACTGTACCGTGCCATTCATACCGGGGTATTACCGTATCTTGAAATTTTGATACCGTTACATCCCTACAAACCAAGCATGAAGACAAAGGAATTGTCTGTAGACCTCAGAGACACACTCGAGGTGCACGGCTTGGGAAGGTTACAAACAAATTTCTGCTGCTCTGTAAGTTCCAATGAGCACAGTGGCCTCCATCATCCGTAAGTGGAAGATGTTTGGAACCACCAGGACTCTTCCTATAATAATATTATGGATGTTTGTGTTAGCCGAGTAAAGGTAGAACAGGTGAAAAGATGACTCACAGGTTATTCACTTCCGATCTACTGTATTTACCATCACTAGAAGGTCTCTGGGATTTAAAGCTGATGGGTTTAGCTGTAAAGGCCCTTTTCAATGCTTTACATTTCGTGATACACACCTAGCGCCTCAGTGACAGTGTGGCTAAAACTCTCCACTTCCTCCTCCAGCGTCTGCTTCATCTGCAGAGGCTGTGGCAGATACCCATAATGCTCTCTGTTGCAAATGAACATCTGCACACCTGAGATAAGAATAACAAGGTTTATTACAGTAAATTAAGTCCTTTTTAAAGACCAAGTTAATAAATTTGAAGTGAAACAAACTGAAAAAAATATACAGAAATATGTTGAGAGCTATGATGTCTAGGGAGAACATGACAAGCAACATTTCAACGCAAAAATACAAACAAAATGATCTGACTTTTACTTTAAAATACATTTTTACCATAGTGAAGGTATTTTTTGTGATACATTTTTTATTGATTTTACATGTGAGTGGTCACTGCATCTTTAAAATTTTCTTTCCAATAAACAAAACAAGATTCACTCGTGATAAAGGTATAGTAAATATATACATTATTTACTCACCTTCAAGTGGGTTCAAACTTTTATGAGTTTCTTTATTCTGTTGAATACAAAACCTATTTTGAATAAAGCTGTCAATGGGTACAGGTTTTCAGCTTTCTTTAAAATATCTTTTGTTCAACAGAAAAACGAAACTTATATACAGTTGAGGTCAGAATTGTTAGCCCCCCTGTTTATTTTTTTCCCCAATTTCTGTGTAACGGAGAGAAGATTTTTTCAACACATTTCTAAACAATAATAATAATTATAGGTTAATTAGGTTAACTGGAAAGGCTAGGGTAATTAGGCAAGTTATTGTATAACAATGGTTTATTCTGTAGACTATCGAAAAAAAAAACTGCCTAAAGAGGCTAATAATTTTGACCTTAAAAATGACTTTTTAAAAATTAAAAACTGCTTTTATTCTAGCCGAAATAAAACAAATAAGACTTTCTCCGGAAGAAAAAATATTATCAGACATACTGTGAAAATTTTCTTGCTCTATTAAACATCATTTGAGAAATATTTAAAAATGAAAAAAAAAAAAATCAAAGGGGGGCTAATAGTTCTGATTTTAACTGTAGGCTTGAGCCAACTTAAAGGAGAGTAAACGGTGACAGAAGTCTCCTTGTTTGGGTGAACTATCCCTTTAAGACTTGAACACCTCTGATTTGACCATTTGAGTGCGGAAATAACTTTCACATTCTCATCAGACCCATTGTATACCTCTATGACATTGGGTTAAACCAGTTTGCAACTCTTCATGTGCTCCCTATCGATATATTACATGGTCTGTTGACATTCTTGATTCTGATTGGCTGGAAGGTGTCCAATAGAATTATTATTATTACTATTATTATTATTATTATATATATATTTTTTTTTTAGAATATGCAAAAATCATACAAATACAAGAAAACATCAACAAATAACAAATACAAAGCAACAAAACAAAAACAAAACAACAACAGTATTGTCAGGTACTGGTATGTGCGTGAGTGTGTGTGTGTGTGTGTTTGTGTGTGTATGCATGTAAAGGTAACTTGGTGGACAGGTCATAGTACATACATAAGGAACAATAACAGTCAACAAATGAAGCAAGTGTCACAGATATAAATAAAACAAAATAATATATAATACAAAAATAAAATACAATAGAATTATAAGATGCACAGGTAGTTTCAGTCAGGCTTGATGAAAGATCAATTAAATGTGCCTCTCTCAAACGTTAGTAGAAGTATAACCATAGCAAATCAGTGAGAGTTGACAAAATGATTACTATTTTGACATATAAATATTTAGTTACTGGCAACACAGTTAAAAAAAATCATTTTATTGAATGTTTAGCAGTTTAATAGTCATCTAAAGTATTTATAAGCAGTTTTATTGACCATTTTGAGGAATGTAAATAAAACACATGGTCCTGACGTATTTCCTGTTTTACATTTTAAATTTCCACAGCTTCTGAGCATCCAAAAAGTTCCACATAATGATAAATAATGTTACAATAGCTGTTACAACATCAAGTTATGATCGAATCGCCTCTTGCTACAGATATGAAATAGTTAAATGAAAATGTTAACGGGCCAATGACATCACATTGAAATGGTCTATACTTTCAAGACTGCATTATAGTGATGACTAATAAACACAATAAAAATTGCGGCACGTCTCTAATTTAAATCAGTTTCAGGACAGTTCCACACACGGCTGCTAGATGGCGCCACTAATGCAACGAGTTCGTTGTGGAACTCAAAGGTGAAAAGACTACCTACGCACATTATTACTACACTTTATCATTGTATTATGTACACAAAGCATCCCACAGTTTAAAGAAATCAGGAAAATCTTTAATTGTAAAGGTCTAGACACACTAAGCGAACAGTCAGCCGTTGGGCTTCACATCCCTAAATGACGACCTGAATGAATCCAGTAATACAGCTCATTCTCAAGCACGGTGAACACTGAAGGCTCCATTGATGGGGCACACCAGATATATGTACACTGCACCAGCCATTCACATGGACTACACCTCCCGTCATGCTTTGCATTTCACAGCTGAAACTGGTTTGCCAATCTCGACACTGATACACACAGTTGCTGATCACTGACACTCACACATACACACTATGTAAACACCATACCTTCGTTGTTGGATAGTGTTTTGTGTCGTAATCTTTGCCAGTGTTTGTTGTTTTGATTCTCGCACTGTCTACAATGATTGTCTGTTGCGAATGGGAGACATTAGGAGTAGATCAAAATGATTGGTCAGGTTAAGGGATTGGTCAGACAGGCACACATGAAACAGGCGAAGGTGTCGAAAAGCAAGAGAAAGGGTCCAAAGGTCAAAAAGACACAAAGGAAAACATTTAAATATTATTAGTTGTTGCTATCATTGCCAGGCGTTTTTACTTTTTTTGCCTTCCTGTGCCGGCTTTCTCTTCTGATTGTTTGCCGTCCATCTCAACCCCTTCGCCTGTTTTACAGATTATGCTTGTGGATTATATCTGTTGTTGTGTATGCTGGTATTTGACCCCAATCCCAATCCCTTAATAATAAAGAGCTCTCTAACTCCTCTTTTGGGAAATTTAGGAAATTGTAAGCTGTTCCCTGGTTTTGACCTCCACTTGACTGTTATATCATTATGTTAATCATGTTATATCAAATGTTATATCATTACCTGTTTGTCTTGCAGAAAAAGCAAATGCCATGATATCATCGAGGGCCCAAAGATAGTGATGGTGCACGGGGTAAAAGGCCAGCAATTCACTAGCTCTGCGGCGCAGGTCTATCAACATTGTGGAGTGAATCATGGGAACCGGGTGACAACCGGTTCGCTTCCAGGTTCGAATGGGTACATAATGTGGTGTTCGCTTATAATAGCCCTGCAGAAAGAAGAATCAGATATTTTCGAGATTACCAACACGTGGTGCAGAAAAACTAACCCTCAAAAAATTGTGCAGACAAAATGAGAAACAATGAATAATACATAATACAGCTATTCTAACTATTACATATGACTACTGAAGTACTGGCATACCTTTAACCTCACTTCTGTTACTGCAAAAAAATGTATGCGGCAGCATTGATTATAACACCTGAATGAGAGTGTAGTGCCTAGCCATAATGAAAATAGGAACTTTTAATTTTCTGTTGGTCCTAGCACACAATGGAACTATTAAAGAGTCCGGATTTTAATAGAAATATGACAAAAACCCGTTTTTTTTTTTTGTTTGTTTGTTTGTTTTTTTGAAAGAGATGCTAATGGTCTAATCTGATTGAGTAATTTATGCTAAGCTAAGCTAAAAGTGCTCTTACCAGACCCATAGATTGGTTGTATGGATTTTAAAAACTGATAAAGCTAAATATTTCATGCTTTAAATAGTAAAATGATCAAAACAAAATTCAAATTTCTAAGAGATGCTAATGGTCTAATCTGATTTAACGATTTATGCTAAGCTAAGCTAAAAGTGCTCTTGTCAGACCCATAAATTGAATGAGTTTGTAAAACTGGTGGAGCTTTAATATTTCAAGCTTTAAATAGCAAAATGATCAAAAACTCTTTTTTTTTTCAAATTTCTTAGAGATGCTAATGGTCTAATCTGATTTAATGATTTATGCCATGCTAAGCTAAAAGTGCTCTTGCCAGACCCATATAATGGCTAAATGGATTTTAAAAACAGCTAAAGCTAAATATTTCAAGCTTTAAATAGGAAAATTATTAAAAATGTAAAAAAATAAATAAAAATTTGAGAGAAGCTAATGATTAATCTGATTTAACGATTTATGCTAAGCTAAGCTAAAAGTGCTCCCACCAGAGATCGGCTGAATGGATTCAAAATTTGTAAAACTCCACTGTTTAACTCTGGAGGAGTTGTAAAATAACGTATTTTTATTTTAGAAATGGAGTGTTCCTTTAACTTAATTACTCAATTATTATATCCACTTTGTAAAATGTAATATGTAAGATGAACATCTGGTCGTCCAATTTCAAGATATGATTAACTATAAAAAAAAAAAACAGCTCATTATGCTGCCTGAAATTTCACATTGGTGTATTAAGTTATATTATTTTAAAGTACAGTTAACGTACAGTGTTTGTCTACTTTATTATAGAGGAAATGGATTAGATTAAAAGGTGTTTGCATTTTGCATAGCAACAAGTAATACTAGACTTGATATTTCAATACTAATGAAGTGGGGTCAGTTTTATTTTTGCTAAATATGGCACAATAAAAAAAATGGGCATTTACTGTTTTAAAACACATATTTAAAAACATGAGTGGAACTTATGGTGTCGATATAAATGAATAATAATTTACTCCGTTTTTATCAATGAGACTGGCCATTTGTATAATAACTAATAATAAGGATTTTTTTCAATGCTATATAAAAACCCTGTTTTAAAGGGATAGTTCACACTGAAAAAGAAAATTATGTCATCATTTACTCACACTTCACCTGTTCCCAACTTGAGTTTCTTTTGTTGAGCACAAAAGTTTTCAGTTTTTTAAGACTGTAGCAGTCTCATGATCACTAATGGTGTAGCATGTGCAGATCGCTTGGGAACTACACATATGACAATTTAATGAACTATAACTCCCATCATGCACCCTAGACACACCAGTTCCTGATTCCCCCTGATTACGCACACAGATATTGCTTTCTCTTGTTTGTCTGTAACACTACATAGCATGTCTTTGGCTAGTTTTTCAGTGTTCTGATCCTTGCCCTGTTTTACCATTTATTTTGATTCACTGCCACCTGTACTGACCATTTGCCTGTTTTTGACTACGATCTGGGATTTTCTGTATGCTTCTGTTTGCCACCATTTTGACCATTTACTTCCAGAACATTATTTTTTTCTACTATTGAAGTGAATAGTTACCAGTTTCTAACATTTTTCAAAATATCTTCTTTTGTGTTCAAGAGAAATAATGTCATTTTTCGGTGAACTATCCATATAAAGTTTATTATTATTATTCAACAAAGAGTTCACTGGATGTGCATGACTGAAATAATCTTCACTTGTTTTCACGTCAGGTCATTTATCAGTCGCATTCAGAATGATTCAATTCAAGTTTATTTGTAAAGCGCTTTTCACAATACTTAACAATTTTCACACATTAAAAAATTACAATCAAAATCAGAAAAGTTTAGATATTAGCTACCAAAATGGATCTCTATAGCCAAAGATTAGCCAACTGCCTAAATAATGTTAGAGTCTATAACCTGTTGGAATAAATTTGGTAAAAAAGTTTGAAAATAGACTTCTGTTGCTCCAATGAGACCATATAATGACTGAGATCTGGTGTTCACTATGCTAGTTCCGTAAATATGAATGGAAGTCTTTGTAATGAAAGATGAAAAGGCGTATTGTACCTGTGAGGTCATGCCACACCAGAAGTTTGAATAGAGCGTTCTTGAGTCGAGCATTGGAGCCACCAGCGTCCGATTTTCAGAAATCAGTTGATTCAGCACTTGTGTGTTTGTAAGCAGGTTATCACTGTCTGTGAACTAAGGGGGAAAAACATGCAAACAATCATACAAATCAATCAGAAATCATTCATTCATTCATTTTCTTGTCGGCTTAGTCCCTTTATTAATCCGAGGTCGCTACAGCGGAATGAACCGCCAACTTATCCAGCACGTTTTTTCGCAGCGGATGCCCTTCCAGCCGCAACCCATCTCTGGGAAACATCCACACACACATTCACACACACACATACACTACGGACAATTTAGCCTACCCAATTCACCTGTACTGCATGTCTTTGGACTGTGGGGGAAACCGGAGCACCTGGAGGAAACCCACCCGAATGCAGGGAGAACATGCAAACTCCACACAGAAACGCTAACTAAGCTGAGGTTCAATTTAGCAACCCACTTCTTGCTGTGAGGCGACAGCACTACGTACTGCGACAGTGCATCGCCCTAATCAGAAATAAGATCCCCAAAATACTATCAATCTAAAAATGTCTGTATCCTTCCATCGTTCATTTTACTTCGCCTGTCTCTCTCTCTCTATGCCTCTAGGGATGACATACCTTGGAATTTCATGACTGACCAATCAGAATCAAGTATTTTAGACAGCAGCGTAATAATTGCACTAAACAGTTATGATATGGCACAATATTAAGTAATCTGACCAGGACGTAGTCTGCCCACTGCGCCCGGGCTGATTTAAGTGCCGCCTGCCTCAGCTTCATCACATGAGTGAACCGAGTCTCCGGCCAGTGCTTGGGGCCCAGCTCATCCACATAAGAACTATAAAACATGGAGAATGAGACATGTTGGTTCCACATTTGGTGAGTGTGCATCAATCCTACACAACAGTAAAGGAATAGTTTACCCAAAAAAGAAAATTCTGTCATTAATTTATCACCCTTCACTTGTTCCAAAACTTTATACATTGCTTTCCTCTGTTGAACACAAATGAAGGTATTTTGATGAAAGCTGGAAATTGACATCCATAGTGTTTGTTTTTTTCTACAATAAATGTCACTGGTTACAGGCGTTCAGCTTTCATTCATTCTTTTTTTTTTTTTGGCTTAGTCCCTTTATTAATCGGGTCGCCACAGCGGAATGAACCGGCAACTTATCAAGCATATGTTTTACGCATATGTCACACATACCTGTCAACCCTCCTGTTTTTCCCGGGATTCTCCCATATTTTAAAGTTCTATCCTGCTATCATCCCATAAAGGTATTTTGCTGTATTTCTCCAGTATTTTCAGTCTTTCTCTGAAGGGTGGCAAGAAACATTAAAGAGCCAAGCCTTCCTATACGAAACCCATACCGCCGAACCACTAGTGGCCGCCCCTTGCTCTTAAATGTTATTCTGTTATGTGCTTTCACTTTGTTTATGCACGAAAACACTTTGAAATAAATAAAAAAAGGCGCGATTCCCCTTCCTTTTCATTAAAGGTGCCGTCTCCCCTTCATATGCTATCCTTAAAAATTGTCATAGCCTGTAGAGGTGCATGACTGTCAGCTGACGCTCTGTATAGTTATAAATAGACACTGTTTCCCAAACGGATTCTGTACACACGATTAGAAGCGGATTGAAAGTCTGGCTTTTGGGTGCGTGTTTAAACAAACATATACACATAATTAATAATAATATCATCTAAAGATGTCGATTTTGGTGTTTTTTTTTTTTTAAACACAACTAATTTCATCTTAAATAAGCATAAAAAGTTAGGAAAGCAGTCGAATGCCTTTATTCTATTGTTAGATGTGTGCATTTTTAAAGTGACACTTGTTATTTAATGTAATCAAACGAAAAAATCTAAATAAAATAAGAGATTATTTGTTACTTTACTTATTATGGTATGCATATCCCTTATTTACACATTCCAATGTTGACAGGTATGATGGCACACCACATGTCTTCCTCCGGAGCACTCAGAGAAAACCCATGTGAGCATACGGATAACATGCAAACTCCACACAGAAATGCCAACTGACCCAGCCGGGGCTCAAACTAGCAACCTTCTTTATGTGATGCGATTGTGCTACCCACTATGCCAACATGACGCAGTGCTCAGCTTTCTTCAAAATACATTCTTTAGTGTACTGGGATTGGAACCACATGAGTTGAGTTGAGTTGAGTTGAGTTGAGTTGAGTTGAGTTCAGTTGAGTTGAGTTAACAACGAGTAAATGTTCATTTTTGTGTGAACTATCCTTTTAAATGTCTATTAATAATAGAAGTTGGTTCTCTGTAAGAAATGGTTGAGCTTTGTAATGTGTTGTCACCTCTTCTCCTGCTCCATGGTGTGCAGCTGTACCGAATGATACAAATCCTCCACTCCAGCGATCCATTCACGCAGCATTCCAGTGGTGTTGTCAGTATTGTGGTCAGTAGCAGCCCTGATGAAGAGGAAGTCCAAATGAGGACCAGAAGGATGTTTACATTTAAAGGGGACCCTTTCTACAAGATGTAAAATTAATCTCTGATGTCTCTAGAGAGTGTTTGTGAAGATTCAGCTCAAAATAACCCACAAATATTGTTTCACAACTTGAAATTGCCCTGCTTAGGCTTTGATCCTATTTGTAGAGTTTTGGTTTCTGTCGCTTTAAATTCAAATTTGATGCTCTTTTTCTAAAGAGGGCGGAGCTACATAGGCCTATGTGTCAGCATAGTGTCAGATTTAAAAACAAGACTAAAGTGCTAATGGGGGAGAGATCAACACTAATATGAGCAAAGCTTTACCCCTATGATGACACATACACTTTCATAGACTGTTGCCTGTTTAAACTCCTCATAATAGTGTTTTTACATAATAGGCCCCCTTTAAAGGGATAGTTCACCTAAAAGAAAATAATTCAACATTTACTCAGCATTAACTTGTTCCAAACCAGTTTGCTTCTGTTGCTGAACACAAAATGTTTGGAAGAATAGGAAACCGGTAGTCATTTACTTTCATAGCATTTGTTTTTTCTCACAACTGATTTCAATTATAGCCAGTGGTGTGAAGTAACTAATTACGAATACTCAAACTACTGTAATTGAGTAGTTTTTCTCAGAAATTGTAATTTAGTATAAAGTTTTTATATGTGTACTTTCTTCTAAGTTCATTTTTTATGCCATATCGGTACTTTTACTCCACTACTTTCCTTCAACCTGCAGTCACTATTTTATTTGTCTATGGGGATTAGAAAAATCAATCCTGTGATTCCTGTTCAATCAAATTGCACATACAGCAGAAGGTAAATCGTATCATGATGATCTACCTCAAGACATGGGCGATTTATAATTGCAGCAAACTGTTTGGAAGCATAAAAAGTGTCCAAGAAGATGTCCAAAATCTTTACACGCAATGACCCAGAGACTGTTTAGATGCATGTCACTGATGAGAAGATGATGGATGTTTTACTGTATGATGACCCAAATGACCGACACCCAGCAGGCACAAGATGTCAACATGATGTCAGATTGACGTTGTACCCCAACATCGTGGGGGGTTTGCTTCTTGTTTGGAAATGAAAATCGAGTTGATGTCAAAACTAAACATTAGGCCGACATCAGCGTCCATCATTAAACCTAAAATCAACCAATTATCAATGTCTAATGATGTTACAGCTTGACGTTGAGTGGACGTTACCACTATGACATCTATTAGACGTTTGGATTATGGTTGCCAAACCTGGCGAATAAATGTCAGTATTTGACATCAATATGACGTTGGTTTAAGATGTTGGCTCGATGTTGGATTTTGGTCACTTTCTAACAACCTAAAATCAACCAATTATCAGCGTCATTTAACGTTGTGATTGGACATCAAAATAATGTTGTCCTTAGATGCTAGCTAGACATTGAATTTGGGTCATCTGACGTCACGCCCTAAATCTAACCTAACGTTAATGTTGCATGATGTTGTGTGCCTGCTGGGCAATAACTAAGTGCACTACAGAATGTTACGTTTACACACATCCACAAATGACATGTAAATGCATCAGCTCTTACAGCGTACTCACTACTCTTGAGTACTTTTGAAAGGACTACTTTTTACTCATACGTCGAGTAATATTTAAAAACAGATACTTTTACTCTACTCGCACTACATCTTTGAGCAGGTAATGGTACTTTTATTTGAGTATAATTTTTCAGTACTCTTTCCACCTCTGATTATAGCTACCAGTTTCAAACATCCACAAATTCAAGAGTTCACACTTAGCTGATGATTGGTAATAAGCTAGTTTGGCATGCTGTCCCGGGAGAGAGCCCCGAGCTCAAAAGATCCTCGAGCCCGGAGCTCCCTCCCGTTGTTGGGCGAGAGGGGAGTTTGAACTCGGGTAGATCTCGAGAACCCCCCCATCCTGCTGCGTAAGGATTGCTAAGGTGATGTGTTGCTGACAGAATTGAATTTGGTGCTAATTTGGTTTAGTCAATTTACTTAAGTCTCATGTGTGGGAGGAAACTGGAGGACCCGGGGAAAACCAAAGCAAGCACGGGGAGAACATGAACTCCGCACGAAAATGCTGTCCGGTTGGGTGGATTCCCGAGTCGGAGGACATTTTTTACTGTGAGGCCACAGTGCTAGCCACTGGGTGCGCCGTGCTGCTCTGTAGAAAAGAGGAGGAGAAGGGGTGGAAGGGGGGATTCTTCAAGACGAAGATGACTAAAGGTAAGATGTTTGGTTATTTATACTGGGTTAGGAATAGTCTGATTGGTGGTTCGTACATTAGCTTGACTCGGGGCCAGCCGTGTCAACCACAAGCACGTGATGCTCTCGAAATTAGTTTACGAATAAACTTCACTAAATGCAGTGTTGATGAGCAGATTATACTTTTTTCCTAATTATCTGAGTATAAGAGTTTGATTTTTCCAATTATTATTTTGAAAACAGTAATATGTTTAAGTCTTGATGTATTGGCGCTGCACTTTCTCCTCCTTTTCTCCCTTTACCCATCCACACATTCTTTCACGTCACTGTGATTCTTGCCATATTTGCTTTTTAGGCTTTCAGGCATATTTCAGACGGGGGTGTAATTAAAGCCAAGCGAAGACTTTAATGTGTGCTCGAATACAAAAACCACAGACACATTCATTTGAATGCTCAATACTTAAAATCCAATGTACATTTAAATGTGTGTATAAAAATGTTTTTAATTCGCGCCAATTTCAACATGTTTATGATGATAGCTAATATTAAAATCAACAAATTTTCATAAAGTATTACAATAATGTGTCAATTTCTACCTTCACTGGCTGAATATGTCTTACAAATTATTTAAAAAATATAAATATATATATATATATATATATATATATATATATATATATATATATATATATATATATATATATATATATATATATATTTAATTATTAAAATATATACAAAATAATGCATTTTTCATATAAATACATTTGTAGAAAATAAAACTTGAGCACTTAATAGTCACAAAAATACACTGTAAACTATTTCCTTTGTCCAGAGATTGCCAGTAACTTACTGTAAATCTATTACAGCAAAAATACTGTATTCACATATACAGCACTGCTTATCCTGCTGTGTATGTACTTCCAGAATTGTATGTATATCTTTACTGTAAAATATACATTTGTTTTTACAATGCAACTTTAAAATACAGTAACAAACTGTCAAACAGTTCATATTACACATAAATACTGTGTAATTAAAAACAAATCCTTAACAGTGTAGTTACCAGATAGAGATACGGTCCTTGGGATAATCCAGCCTCTCGATGCATCCTAAAAAATAAGGAAGACTGTGTTCGCTGTTTCGAGCCAAAATCGCAATGGCTACTTTGGGGTTGAGTAGAGATGTCTCATGTAGGACAGGCTCCAGGTCAGTGTGAGTATAAATAAATCCGATCCATGACTCTAACATTACTAGTCCAAGCAGAAGCTTTCCAGATGCTCTCGGGTCCATCATAGTGTGTCTGATGGCGCAGAAGCATGTAGTGCTATATATTAGACCAGTGAGAAGTCACACTTGACTGGGGAGATTTGAACCCTATGTGCAACAAAACCACACTCATTTGACGAAGAAAAACTCAAACTCAAAATAGTACTAGTGCACCCTAATTTCATTTACAAAGTTTATTTTCATTCAGCTTAGTCCCTTTATTCATCAGAAGGTCATCACAGCAACCACCAACTTATCTAGCATATGTTTTACACAGCGGATGCCCTTCCAGCAGCAACCCAGTACTGGGAAACACCCATGCACTCTCATTCACACTGCAAAAAATGCTTTTCTTCCTCCCTTTTTGTCTTGTTTCTAGTCTAAATATGTAAAATTTCTTATATCAAGAAGCATTTTCTAGACGAGCAAAGCATATTGTCTTGTTTTGAGAAATAATATGCCAATATTAAAGTAAGTTTTCCTTAAAACAAGCTAAATAATCTGCCAATGGGGTAAACAAATTAATCTTGTTTTTTTCTATTCACGTAAGATTATTTTGCTTACCCCATTGGCAGATTATTTAGCTTGTTTTAAGGAAAATTTCACTTAATATTGGCATATTATTTCGCAAAACAAGACAATATGTTTTCCTTATCTAGAAAATTATACTTGATTTAGGAATTTTTAGATATTTGGACTAGAAACAAGACAAATAATCTAAGTAAGAAAAGCATTTTTAGCAGTGTACACTACGACCAATTTAGCTTATTCAATTCACCTATAGGCTGTAGGGGGAACCGGAGCACCCGGAGGAATCCGTGTCAGTGGATTAGCCACATTTGGGGGCAAAATTGTGCAGAAAACTAGTTTCTGTTGAGAAAATGCTTAGACATGTTTTTGTTAGGCTACTCATTTTACTCCATTTTTTATTTGTATTGTCTACACTTTAGAGTCTAGGTCCACTGTTGCTGATCGTTCAAGTTCTACATTTTAACCTACATGTAATGTCTGTGGTTAAATAAGAAATAAAAGGTTGCATTTATGAAAATTCACCAGCAGATGGCGATAGTTAGGTGCCTGAACGATTCTACTTTCATTCAGCAGTGTTAGTGAAGCTACTCTAAAACTGTACAGTAGCTTGATAAGCTAAACTACTCGTCAGGAAAAGTAGCTAAAGCTAATCTACCGTCAAGCTACACTTGTAAAGAGGTAAAAAAAAAACTATTTAGTATTAATTATAGGTTAATAACTGTACAACTACTTTCCACAGTGTTGTTGTAGTATTGAGCACATTAATGTCGTACTCACAATAAGCATTTAATAGTGGATTTCATTTATGATTTTTTTAAATTATTAATTTAATGTAATTGATTTTTTTATCACTTTTATTAATTATTTATTTGTTTATTAATTTATTCTTTTGCTTCTCGCTATGGGAAGTAGCCTTATTGGTTGTTGAGGGAGGGAAGTGTTTAGTAGAGTTGTTTACAAAATTAATGTTGTAATTCACTGATTTCATGTATTGTGCAGAAAATTTAATATATAATATAAAACAAATAGTGAATTTAACATTATTCCCTGTACAACAGTGACTTTTTCATCACTGATCCATTCATCCATTCAACTACAACATGAATCCTTTCAATCCAGATTAAAAGCACTTGTGGGAGGTAAAAACCCACTCTTTTTATTTGATAGAACAGTGCATTCCACAAGCCATTCTACATTTCTAAACCCATTACAGCAATTACAACATTGTGTCAAAAGATTTCAATCAATACTTAGTAAACTTTCCTTTATTTTGTGATTTTATTTTCATAATTCCATGTTTAGCCGTCCAACACAGCCTCATTGGAAAAATGTGCCCAGGGATACATTTTTAAAATCATGAAATATGTGCTTTTGGGCAGAGGCGATCTTTGACTTGCGGGGACCCTAAACAAAAGTGACATGCGTTTGTCACAAATGGCCCGTTTCCACTGAGTGGTACAGTACGGTTCGGTTTGGTAGGCTTTTATGGCCATTTCCACTGTAAAAAGGCGTACCGAACCAAACCGTACTGTACCACTTTTTCGGCACCCTTTTGAAAGGGTCCCAAACACAAGAAAGGGTACCAAAAGGCGGAGCTAGACGCACAGCTGAATGCTATTAGTTTACAGAGATACGTCATTCGCTTACGCAACAAACCAGAATGTAAACAAAGGACCCGCCATGTTTGAAATACACAACAAGAGATTACAACGGAATTATATATACATATAATGGTCGATCCGGGCTCAAACAAACCTTGTCGTCGTCTTGATGTACAGCCACAAAGCATGGAATAGAGCAGAATCTACCCTGTGCCTCGTAGTTTTTTACGAGCCAGTCTGAGGAGCTAGCGGTTTCGCTTTCTTGTTTGCGCTCCCCGCGCATCTATATCTGTATAAATAACAAACTTCTTGAGCTGATAATAATAACGTGCTTTTGATTATTTATGTGCTTTGGAAACCCGATCCTGTGAGAAGGTGACAAACGCGAGAATGACACATTCAGAAAGTAAAGGACAAACGCGAGAGTGAAGCGCGGGGAAAAAAAGAACCACGTTATTTCTTCAGCCAACGTGAACAAACTGCCTTGTTTTAATTTTTATCATCACCTTTTGGACTAATATGAACTGGGAATGATGGAATTACTCTCTAATAGAGGCGACATGTGCACACAGATGAGAAGTTTTCACCCACTGTAGGCTATACTTTGTGTTGTTTTGAACCAAATTAAGGACAAAATGTTTGCTATGTGTAGTTTTTCTGTAGTTGGTAACATCGCAGACCGTAAGGGGCTGTATGTGTTCATATAAGTTGCATTTATATATTTATTTTATATAATTGCAGACGTTACAGTTGACTATTTCGCACTGTCGTTGATCTGCAGTTATAATCAACTCCTGTTCATAGAAAAGTTAGTAATAAACATTTATACAGAAGTATTTATGTGTGTAAAGCGTCTGTTTTGTGAGAAGTGCTTTTCATATGACATGTGAACGACCTGTGCAGCTTTATTGTAAACATTTCCTCGAGCGAGAATGATGCGACTGAAACTTTGTCATACACCACGCCCACCAAAAGGGTACCCTTGGTAGTGGAAACGCAAGCCTGATAAAGTGACCCGTACCGACCCAAACCGTACTGTCCTGTACAAGTCAGTGGAAACAAGCCAAAAGTGAGCGGGTTAGAGGGATGTCTGACTGTTGTTGAAGTACGGGGAGGGGGGGTGGGGGGGGACAAGGTGGACTGGTATTGAAAAGTGGTAGGCCTAGAGTGATGCGGGACCTTCTGTAATTTGCAGGGCCCTACGCACCTTGCATTAGTGCATGTATAGAGCAGATCATTAATGCTTGTGGGTACTATGGCTGCATTTTGTGTATAAAACAAATGCTATGGAGTGGTTTTTACCTGTGTATGGATGTTTTTTTCTGATGTGAATGGTTTGCTTGAGTGCTCACCATGAACAGTGTCAGACTTGGGACACGAAGTGGAGCAGACTGGTGTTTGAGTATGGCGAAGGACAGTTCCAGAAACCAGGTAAAACAAAACCCCAAAAAGCTGTGTGATTTTGTGGTAGAAGCATTCAGCCGCAATGCCTTTTCTTTTTTAGTTTGCTTATAAAAACACTATTGGTTGAGTTTAGGGAAAAGGTAGGGTGGGTCAGTTGAGCACGAACTTTAGCACCAACTGGGAAAGAATGAAGGCATGCAGCAATGTAGTGTGGATATTCTCTCGTGTTGCCAATAAATTACTTTGTTTTGTTTTTTTTTGTTTTAAACATGCTTCACATGTCTTCAACATGTCTTCACCTCTTCCTTCATAAATCTATACAACCGGAGGTAAACCCGCACACACTTGCATCTTGAAAGCTCATCTACACCATCTTGTGCAACTAGCCCATAAGCTTGTCCCACAATTGTGCGTGAAAAGCACCTAAAGTTACCAAGAAATTCATACAGCGGCCTTTCGTGGATTCACAAGAAATGCTACGTATGAGTCTACATAGTCAGTAGGATATTCGTGAAAACAAAAACTGCAAGAAGACGTAGACCCGGGTACATATTTTTTGGTTCTCAAAAATGTATCCCTGGACACATAATTTCCAATGAGCCTGGGTTATTTGCATCAGTGCTTATTCCAGGAACGTGGAAGGGTCCGGATTGTGGCTTTGGTATCACGGGTCATGAGGCGAGTAACCTGATCTAAGGTCAGTCCAGCAATGATTTCCCCATTGACTTCTAGAATCTCATCTCCAACACCAAGGAGCCCAGTGTAGCTGTTTTCTGTGACACCATCTCCGACCCGTTCCACGTATATACCTATAAAACCAACATAACAGAATGAGATAGATAGCGTGTGAGCATTAAAATGTGCTCAGACCCAAACCAGACGTAAAGGATTAGATCACCCAATGTACATTTTGTAATTAATTACTCACACTCATGTTGTTTAAATCCTTTTGTTCATCTTCGAAACACAAATGAAGATATTTTAGATTAATTGCAAGAGTTTTCTTTTTCCCAATAGTCAGTCATGAAAAGGAACCAACTACTTTGTTAAAACATTTCATGTGCCTTCGATGGTTCCACTATAATCGTACAAAGCTCCAAAAACACTTTTGTGAGGCAAATAAAACTCCAAACTCGGTACTGGGGGGCCGCTGTCCTTAAAAGTTTAGCTACAACCCACCCACCACACACAATCAGACACACCAGGGCTAGCTAATCAAGCTCTAACTAGGCTTTCTAGTAACATCCGTGCATTTGTTTTGAGGCAAGTTGGAGCTAAAATCTGCAGGACACCGGCCCTCCAGGACCGAGTTTGGACACCCCTGGTCTATGTCTTATACATCAGATCAGACAGCACTTTTGAGAGAGCTCCTGGATTTCATCCAAAATATTTTAAATTGTTTTGAAGATGAACGAAGGGCTCAAGGGTTTGGAATGAGTAACTAATAACACAACTTTGATGTTTGGGTGAACAAATCCTTCAAAATATTTGGATTTTTTTCAGTGTTTTGCAGTCAAATGTGGATGAACTATAGAAGTCTAACCTGAGTCTGGTCTTCCTTTACCCCTGGAGATGACAAAGCCAAAGGGTTTGTTGTCTGCAGGTCTGATGAGCTCTATCAGTAATGTCCCATCAGGGAAAGCCTGTACCAGTCGTCCTTGTGGACCTCGAGAATCCTCTAATGCCTCTATGCACTCTTCCTTCTGAAGATCCCTGAATTTAACAGAAATGTGGCATATCAAATACGGTTTTATTGTAGAATCATATTTTCAAATATGTGATCCAGGTTGACAAATCCAGTCTTAAGTTGCATGGGAATATTTGTAGAAATTGCCAAAAACTTTATTTGAGTCAACTTTATTGATTTTTGGCAAAAATCATTAGAGTAGTAAGCAAAGATCATGTACCTTGAAGATATTTAGCTAATTTCCTACTGTACATATATCAAAACCTTTATTAGCAATATGTATTGCTAGCTAAGCACTTCATTTTGACACTTTTAAAGGCTATTTACTCCGTATTTTGACTTTTTAACCCTTAGATTTCAGATTTCCAATTGTATCATGGTTAAACCATACATCAATGGAATGCTTTTTTAAATCATAAGCTCATGATTGGTTTTGTGGTCCAGGGTTATAAATGTCTACGTTTTTATGAATGCATAGAGATAAAAATGCATACAAAAAATATTACACACCTTGGTGCCAAACTCAATGGCAGTGAAAGCTCTCCTAATATAGTAGAACGCTCAAACTTTCTCTTCGGAGACTGTAGACTCTGGACAGAAGAAGCTTTGCGTAACTGAGCCAAAGGAGACTCCTGTTGGCAAAAAGCAAAACTTCAGCAAGATATGACCCAGCTTTCATTTAATTACAAGAACACCCCACTTTTAAAACTAGACCTAATTCCCCTAGAGTTAAACAGTTGAGTTTTTAACAGCCTCATTTTTAATCCACTCAGCTGATCTCTAGGTCTGGCTGAAGAACATTTAACTTAGCTTAGCAAAGATCATTGAATCTTGCTCAAAAAATTGACCAAAGAGTCATGACAGAGAACGAAAATGTACTTTTTTCTAGGCCATTATGGCTAGAAACTACATGCTCATTCTAATGGCATGCAGCAGGTGGAACGATATTACACAGCTCCTGAAAATAGTCCCCAGCTAGACAACTTCCAATGTGAGCACCTGCTTGCCCAGGGAGTGTGTGCTGCGTAATATCATTGTGCCTGCCGCAGCCATGGTATGGTAGGAAAGTTCCTTGATTATTAAACAAGAATGAGACTATAGTTCCTAGTCATTGCCTTAGAACAGGGGTGGCCAACCGTGTTCCTGTAGAGCCACCTTCCTGCAGATTTCAGTTGCAACCCATATCAAACACACCTGCCTGTTATAATCACGGGGTGTACAGTTCCTGATTAATTGGTTCAGGTTTGTTTGATATGGGTAGCAACTGAAATCTGCAGGAAGGTGGCTCCCCAGGAACAGGGTTGGCCCCCCTGCCTTAGAAAATAGCAATTTTACATTGATCTTAGTACACAACCTAGCTAAAGAAGAGTCCAGCCATAAATAGGAAATTGAAACATTTTTGACATTTGGTCAGTTTTGATCAAAATGCTAATGGTATAATGTGATTTAATGATCCATGTCAGTGGTTTCAAACTCAGTTCCTGGAGGGCTGCAGCCCTACACATTTTAATTCCATCCCTGATCCAGCACACTTACCAGTAGTTTTCGAACAAGCCCGAAGGAAATCCATAGTTTGATGAGGTTGTTCAATGAGGGATGGAACTAAACTACAGAGCTGCGGACGGAGTTTGACACTTGTGATCTGTTAACCTAAGCTAACAGTTCTCCCGCCAGACCCAGAGATGGGATAATAAAGTCAAAAATAATAAGCCTGAACTGAAAGTGCAGTGTTCCTTTTACCATATTCACCAGCTATTCACACCTATTTACTGGGCAGATGTGGCATAATGGTTAGGTAGTTGGACTCACTGTGTGTGCTCTCACTGCAATCTGTGTGTGTTTGTGTGTGTGCTCTTACTGTAACCTTTCGATTACAAGCCCAACTCCTGAACCATTAAGGCTGATTTACACTAGTGATGGGTCGTTCATGAACGATTCGTTTATTTTGAACGAATCTTCAAAATGACTCGGGAACTATGAGTCCTCTCAGGGAGTGATTCGTTCATCCGTGTGTGCGCATATTTGTGCAGGTATCTTTAATTTCAAGTCTTCATCACATTGGCAGAAGCCAATCATATGCATTTAAAGCCGGAAAAAGAATTGATCCGCCCACCTCTCGAGTCCTCTATCGGGTCTGAGTCACTCGTTCATCACGAGCCAATCATAGGTGTTTAGAGCCAGAAAAAGTTTTGATCCGTTCATCTCTCCAGTCCTCTATCGGGTCTGAGTCACTCGTTCCTCACGAGCCAATCATACGCGTTTAGAGCCGGAAAAAGAATTGATCCGTTCATCTCTCTAGTCCTCAGGTTTGAGTCATTCTCTCACGTGATGAAGCAATTCTTAACATTTTAATAATTTTTTGGCAAATTGAACCAAATGAACGAAATGACTCGAAAAAAGATTCGTTCATCTTGATCAGTGGTCACCAAACTTGTTCCTGGAGGGCCGGTGTCCTGCAGATTTTAGCTCCAACCCTCATCAAACACACCTGAACAAGCCAATCAAGGTCTTACTGGGAATACTTGAAACACCCAGGCAGGTGTGTTGAGGCAAGATGGAGCTAAACCCTGCAGGGACACCGGCCCTCCAGGACCAGGATTGGTGACCCCTGATCTTGATAAACGAGACTCAAAGATCCGAGACAGTAAAATGTTCCGAACTTCCCATCACTAATTTACACTTCTGCATTGAGAGATCAGTGACCAACGGTGCCTGCCCTGCTGTACATTTATACTTCTGCATGCTCTTTGTGTTGCTCTGCAATAACACTTCCCAAACGCTAGCCAGCAGTAGGTTTTTATGTTCCTTTGTGTTGATTTTCTTCGCGAGTGTTTTGTTTTTTCTGAAGGATACAAGTAGCTAACACCTATTCATTTAGAGCTGGAAACCGGCGGATATGCAACAACTTTAATCATAGGAGCTCCATAAGGTAAACACACAACAAAAGTCTTCATCTGGAACTCCTTCATGGGACTTCCCTACTGAAAAAAGAGGGGTTTTGGCCATTTCCAGGCTGGTTTCCAGCCTTTTCCAGCCTGGTCTTAGCTGGTCAGGCTGGGAGATGACCAGCTTGACCAGCCTAGCCAGACTGGGAGCCCAGCCAAAACCAGCTATGTCCAGCTTAAACCAGGCTGGTCAAGCTGGTTTAAGCTGGATTTAGCTGGTCATTTTCCAGCCTGACCAGCTAAGACTAGGCTGGAAATGGCTGGAAACCACCCTGGAAATGGCCAAAACCCCTCTAAAACCAGCCTGGTCAACCAGCTTAAACCAGCCAACCAGCCTAAGCTGGTTTAAGCTGGATTTTTCAGCAGGGTTGACACTTGTAAACTCTCACTCCATCGGGCTAACAGCTCTCAGCACCACCCACGCTAGTCACCACTACAAAGCCAATCAATCACAAAGCTTGTGCTATGAGTTAGCTACCGTGAGGGCTTTGTGACTGCTCAAAGGCTGCGCCGAAGCTTACGCTTGCTCTTGACGCAGAAGTATAAATCAGCCTTTAGGCCCCCAAAAGAAAGCCTCGCTGTCTGGTAATCGGACCCTGATCTTCCTTGTGATAGGCAAAAATACTGTCCACCATACTAACGAGGAAAGTATGTCCTTTTCGATCCAACAGACTTCTAGTATGTCCCTTTAGATCCACCAGACAGATCTAAGTGTGTTGTTACAGAAGTCTCCAGATATATCTTGGTCAGCAGGCTAAACACGATATGTTTGAATTTTCACTAAACAAAGCCAGAGATACAATCCAAATGATCTTGCATGATATTGCTTGGCTAGGTGTTGCTGTAGTTGTATTAACTCTTAAAGAAAAGAGAACTCACTGTGTGAAGAGACTGGAGAGATGGAGTCCTTTTCAGAGAGACAAGGCCTCTGTGTGTAGGGCTTGAGCGGGCTGTAGGGGAGCACAGGTGCTCCATGCTGTTGGACCGGTTACCCTTCACAAGCTTACCCATACTATTCAGTCCCATAGCTGAGAAAAAGCGACGGAGGGATAGCTTGGGCCTCCCTTCCCGTTCCCCTGCTCTCCTACACATAGAAATCGAAGAGTCCATAATGAGTGCTACAAATGTTTACATGCTGTTTATCTTATTATGTAAAGCAATTATTATTATGAAGGTAAGCGCTCTCTGTAATTGCTGTTTTGCTTTTGTTACCCAAATGCTGGGTTTAGCCTATTGTGTTGGCTTTATACCTATGCAAATATGTCTTTGTTGTCTATGTCGTTGTTGAGGCAACTATGGATGCTTGGATCACCCTATTCCTTGTGAAGGGAAAGGAACAACTGCTAATCAGAAATACTAACCAATAAAATGGCAGTGACGTTGGATACTGTTAGGTTACTTAACCCATTCATTTATAAACCCTACAAGTAACTTTAAGAATGAGAGTTTGCCCTCTTTGTGAACTTCTTATATTTGGCCATTGTAAATGTAAACAGTTTTTTATATATCTATAGTCCATATAGGTAACATTACATATGTCCCAGGTAAAGGATTTAAAGTAGCTTACCTAGACATAGCTAAACTGTCATCCCAATGTATTTCAGCTTTTCTGTGTTCTGCTCTCAGAAGTTCAGCCCTCAGGTCTTCTGTCCTGGACATACCCATAGTTCTCAAAGCCAGATGGCTGTCTGAGGAAACAGGCACTGTACTTTTTGAATCCCTGCAAATGCCATCACTTGCCAAATGACCTGAATCACAACAAATGAATGAACAAACCATGTTGCAATAGGAATCTGTAAACCAGCTCTAAATGAAGTGAAATCTATTGCTGATTTAGAAAGTGTTGTCCGGTTCTGTTCTTGATGGGCCATCTTGGATCCCAAATGGCACCCTGAACCCTTGCAGTTTTCCTCTGGACTTGTGTTATCTAATTCTACAGTACATTTCAATTTGGTATGGGTCATCCAGATCAGGCTTGTGCTTCCACTGCCAACAGTGAGCTTTACTTGGAAGGCATGCTGTATGCCAGAAAGTTGCAGTTAATGCCGTTCTCACTCAAAGAACCAATCTGTAAAGGTCATTCACATATCATGTCTTTTGCATGCTGAATATTTGGTACAAAACTGTGCTACTAGTAACCCTTGAGAAAGGGTCCCAAAAAGTGGTATGGTACGATTCACTATTTTGGTACTTTTGACAGTGGAAAATAAATAAATACATACTGTACTCTACTGGTTAGTGGAAATGAGGCATTTTTATGCTTAGAGCTTGCCATGGTGTGGTCGTAGCTGAAAGGCTCTTTCAGATAATATTTCAAAAGCTAACATGCAGCCTTGGTCAACCCTGTAGTAGTATTAACTATGCATGCCTCGGGTAGACATTAACAGATTTTTTTTGTTTTTTTGCTTTTGTTTGGCTTTCCAGCAGCCATAATAATCATCTTTAATCTAGAAGCAGTATGTCATGCCATTCTTTAGTCAGCTAGTGGGATGCCACATGTAATACTTTTATCACTTTGTTTTAGGTAAACTTACCAGTGACTGGGTCACTTCCAGAGTCCCATATTGCTAGGGCTTGAAGGTCTGTAGTTAGCATAGACGAGGAATACCTGAGAGAAGATGGCCTGTTGCATAAAGTCAGGCCTGAGGTGGCTGAATGAACCTGGGGGGAGGCACTAAGAGTGACACTGAGATGCTCTTCGGTTGGTATGTTTTCATGGTGAGAACCTCCATCCATTGTGTGGTCGAGGTGAATCAAGCGGTACTGAACTGATGGCATCAGCGTAACCACACGTTGCCCTGAAGGACGGCTCTTGGAACCTGATTTCAGAGCTGATTTAATGGGGAGGTGTGGAGGAGAGTCACTGACTTTGTTGGCGAGCTCTTTATCCTCAGCATCAGACGAGGTTTCTGTGGCACCTTCTGATTGCATCTTCAGTAGTTTTGAGTGTGTGGTTGGATCCTCCAGACTTGACCTGGTTTTGGAGTTCCTTCTTTGGGCCCAAAGATCTTGGCTTCGTGCATAAGGTCCATTAGCAGTTTCAGCTCTGCTTTCCCCTTTCCTGCTCCGTCTACGAAGCTTCCCAAAAGCTGACATGCTCTCACCTGCACCTCCCACACCTCCCCGCCCTACGTTATCTGTAAGACTGACACTTCCAGTGAGAGTTAACCTTTCCAAGAAGGTTGGGTGCATGGTTCGGCGACATGTTTGGTTAGGTGTGACCCATCGAGGGACTGCCTTCTCTTGAGAATCTGTGATACCATGTGTTGATTTAGAAAGGCAATCTTTAGTCTGGGCAGCTGCCAAGATGCTTCCACAAGCTTCACATGTCCTGAGCATTTCATCCTTTGGCACCATCGCAGCCAAACAGTCTCCCTCCTTGGTTAATATTGCTACAGGGATGCCAATGTTTACCCAGTTTATTGCCGCCCCCCTGCCTTCTTCTGAAATGTTGTACTCTGATTCTGCCTTCAGCTGTTGGGCGGAGTGGGATTTCTCAACTACCACTGGTCCACGTTCACGCACCCGCTCCAGGTATCGTCGCTCAGCCTCCTTTTCAGACTCATCTTCAAAACGCACTCTTGTAGGTGACTGACCATACCGACGTGAACGCATGCCACGTTCATGATTCCGTCCCCGGATGTCTGGTGACTGAAGAGGTGAGGCCAGCTCATCTTGAGCTGTGACAAGAACAGCACTGTGCAGTGTAGATGACACAGCGATTGGCAAGAGCTCCCTATAATGCAGATACAAGAGATTTTTAAAGAACACCTGGAAATCTGCAAACAAAGTTTCATTTCATTATCTGTTACATCACTGAAAGTTGCTTAATTATCATTCCAACCTAAACCTTCATTTTTTATTTCAAATTAAAGAGCCCCTATTATGGTTTTTTGAGAATGACCTCCTATGTAGTGTGTAACACAGCTATAAGTAAAGTGAAATATCCAGCTTAAGGATATATAAGGATAATTAAGGCTTAAATCTGAAAGTACACAGTGTTAAAAACTATTAATTCATTTATAAAAGAGTGGACTCTTAGTGCTTAAATGAATTGTCTTGATAATGAGTTTTTAGCCATTTCGGCGTGACGTGGATACGAAACTTAAGCCCCGCCCAATTGTTGTGCACGCAAACCCGGGAAAATTGAAACCTGCGGCCCCGCCCACAAACAGTAGCAAAGAAAAAGAGGAAGCCAAGCACTGTAGCAGACGCCGTTTGAAATAAGTCATGAAGACGCTGTGGGATATTCTGCTGCATATTATTGGAAGTGTGAAGGAAATTTAGTGTTATTTTTTCTACCCAAAGATAAAACTCTGAAGAGTCAGTGGTTGAGGTTTATTTTTGCAAAAATACCTCAGCATTATAGCCCAGCCTTGTGCAGTTCCAGTGCTTCTGGCATCTACACACAACGGGGTATTTATCGGCTGTTTGTTAAAGAAAGGATCAGAAAAGACTATTGATGTAAGGGACTTTGTCAGTACATGGATCAGAGAATCATGGATCAGTTTCTTCCTCCATTTTACAAGTGTAAGTAAGTGCGAATAAAATGGCTGCCTCCTTGTTTTCTCTAGCTTGCAATTTATGTATTTAATTGTGTTTTGTTACTTGTAACTGCTTGTACTGTATCTGGTTAACTCTTTATATTCTCATATCGCATCTAATGCCACGTTTAAAACGTGACGTATGGCGCTTTGTTTAAGGATTTAAATGCGTTTATGAGCTCGCGTTCCACTGCCGTTTGTCCTTGCTATGGCCACCGTCGGTTGTTCTTACACATGTGCACCGGTCAAGGCTCAGAATAGTTCAGCTTTTGCCGCTGTGTGGATTAATACTGAATATGTGTCATGGTTAAGAATACCTGCTAACATCTGTCCTTAAAAATCCGGGAGACCGGGGGGGTTAGGTTCTGGGTGAGGTATCTGAATAAAACTGAGAGCTGGAGCAAGCTGAACTGGCGTTCTAGGCAAACGGCGGTCACGCCACCCTCAACCCGAAAGTGAAAAATAAAGTGACCGGTTCGCGGATGAAAGTGAGGACCGGGAGGGAGGAGGTGGGTGTTGCAGATGATAGTGAGGAATAGGAGGTTCGTGGATGCCACCCTCACAATTCTGCTGCCCAAGGCGGCCGCCTAGGTTGCCTCTATGGACACGCAGGCCCTGATAACACTGTTGAGAACCGGGTATTGTGTACTACGGTGTTAATAACTACTATAAAGCATGTCTAGGGCGGCCACTGCGATCGGATTCTATACCAATGGTTTGGGATTGGGGGGGGGGGGGGTGTAGTGGTGGTATGGAGATGGGTCATACATACACTCTGCACTCTGACTACTTTAATATTGTCAATAAGACGTGGTGGCCACTGAACGCTGTCGACCAATCACAACAGGCTGTCATCTGTCCAATCAGCGCAGATTAGCTTTGCGCTAAGGAGGGGTTTGGAATGAATCATATGAGAGTCGCTGGGATAATTAGGTAAAAATAAATGCAAATTATAAGACCATGAAAGTGTTTTTTGACCTTGCATGCATATCCGTCTGTTGTTGGAGACCCGTAAAACCAAAATATGACCCTTTTTTAATGTATAATAGGGGCTCTTTAAATAGATTAATGCTTTTGATCATATTTGTGTGCCTTTGTTTATTGATAAATCTTGCCAAAAACTTGATATATGCAATTCATTTGATTATATAACACAAGAATACAACATTGAATTAAAAAATATTTCAGTGTATACTTCTAGATGACAAAAAAATGTAGTACAACAAGAAAGTCATTAAAAGCGCTGAGGTGACTTACAGGCCTTCTCTCTGGCCAAGACAGGTGGGACTTTCGCTCTTAGAGTTCTGGGAACGTGCTTTGAATCGAGCTCTTTCTAACAGACGCTTTGCTTGTTCATGACGTGGACTGAGAGTTACTTCATTGGTGGAAATCAAAGGCCTGTTCAAAAACAGAAAAGCGATTTGACACACACTTGAGTAAGTGTACTGATTATGCAAAGTCTTATATTTTGTCAAGCATTTTTGATATGTTTTCATCCAAACCTATAAAATCTTAGAAACAGCAGTAGCAATTTCCGTTTGTATGTACAACATTTAACAATAGAATTATGGTCCTGAATCTCCCCACAAATCAGTAATAAACATACAGAATGTCAGTGGCGTAAATCTGTCTTATGTAATCTTTATCGTGCGCATGCTTTAATCTTAAATTGACGAGATGCTTGTTTTTCTCATGGATTTGTGTTCTGGCAGAGGTCTACCACAGCTATATGAAAACGAACAAGGATGTGTTTGATTGAAAATGTATTTTACCTGTAGTTAAACACGGGCTCCTTTGCGATGATTGCCGAGTCCCAGTAGGGAGGTAAATCTAAAATGAATTAAACACACACACATAGGTTTCAAAAACCCAGCTCGCACATGCTTTCAATGTTTTCAGGCTCCAAGCATTAGAAATAAAGATATACTTGTGAACTACCGCCACCATTCCTCCCTATCAACGCATGTATGATAACAACAAGCCCACTGAATCGTTATCCTGTAGTCCTCCGAGCCAGAAGAGCTCAGCTTGCTGTTACACAACACTCAAACCAAGCTGGCAGATCTCAGCGTATCCCTACATCGTATGGTATTAAAACACTATTATCTGCCCTGCTCCACTCTTTCCCAAACCCTTCCCCCCACATCTGTAATTACGGTGACAGGCAGGCACATCTGTTCTGAGAGATCATACTAACCTCCCTGCTGTAAGTTTTGGCTTGGTGACCCATGGTTAGCTAATGCTGGTTAAACCATAAACACCGCAAAACGTACAGGGCAATTAACAGAAACCAAATGATAGTATGCAGAAGTCATTTACATTTAGTCTTTTGTCAGACGCTATTATCCAAAGTGACTTACAAGTGTGGATAAAAGTAGCTATTTTAATCATCAGACAGCAGAAGAATCTAAAGATTTAAGATTTTTTTTGCTCTGAACATACAGAGAGAAGAAAGTGTAGCCTACAGGTTTACACTCATCTGTGTAGAGCACACTCAAAATTGCACAATGTTTTCCAAGAAGTATGGAGCATGGGGCTAAGTCATTAACCTAACTTGAAATTCCAAAAAGCTATTGACCAAAGCTCCAATTATCATGCACTTCTTGTCAGAAAAGTAAACTGTGATCAATAGCAAATCTCTTCCAAAGGCAAGATGGCTCTCTAAAGAAACTCCAAATCTTTTTGAAGAAACCCAGAAAATGGCTATATTGGTTGTTCATTGCTGAATAAACCGAAGATTTAACTGCTGTCATTGATTCAGCGTGATCACATGGCTACTAAACCCCAAATCTCATCTAATGACTTATTTTAAAACACTCGACTAAAGTAATGCTTCATTCACACTAGCAGTGACTTTGCAGCTGCCTGTCGCTCTGGGTGAGGACAGACATCCCAAGTTTCCCGGAAGTTCCGAGAGTCTCCCGCAAATCCATAGAGACTCCCGGTGCCCACAAACGAATGATAATCTCCAGGAAATCGCGCCTCTCCTGCCTGGTCCTTAAATAGTCTCCACCGCATCCCTCCCAGCTCTTCAGGTACGTCGGGCGCAACTCAACCCCACCGCTCTTCAGGTACCTCGCGCACTACTCACCCCACCGCTCTTCAGGTATGTCACACGCAACTCACCCCCACCGCTCTTCAGGTACATCGCACGCACACGCCCCCACCGCTCTTCAAATACGTTCCGCACCACTCTTCAGATACGTCGCGCAACACACCCCCACGGCTCTTCAAATACGTCGCGCGCACACGTACCACCGCTCTTCAGACACGTCGCGCACATGTACCGCCGCTCTTCAGGCACCCACTCTACCATGACCTCCTTCATTTTAAAAAACAAAATGCATCCATACTGTCTGTACTTCTGGCTACATAATTTACAATCTCCATAAATGTATATAGGGCTACGTTTTCAGAATGAGCCTATGTTGCAATATGTACTATCACAACTGCAAAAGCCTTACCTCTTTGCGGCTCTTTTGGTGGTTGATATTGTCCTTCTGGACGCATCGAAGTTGTGATCTCAATGGCCTCGACTTGGTATTGGCTCAGGTATGACTTGTTTATCTCTGCTTTCTCTGCAGAACCCAGAGTTCCTCCTCTGGAGCACACAGTCTCCCAGCTGTCTGCCTTCCACAACCCACCAACTGGATCTGCTGCTCCCATCTCCTTCTGGAGAGACCTATGAAAAGCACTTTCCAGGCTATCAGACCTTTGCAGCTCCTTATGAACCACTGCACCCACAGTCTTTAGTTTTGGCTTCCGTTTGAGACTCTCTTCGATTGTGTGTGGGACATCTTTTGGAGCTGGAAGCGCGGAGGAACTCTCTGAATTAAGAAGTAGCGTCTCTGGTCGTGCAACTCGCCAAAATCCCTTGGGAGGAGCCCAGTGCCTGGGAGATGTTTGTGATTTTGCTGAAATGTTCCCTTGAGGCTCACCGACACCACCCACTACAATATTCTCCAAGCTAGATCCTTCACAAAGCCCACGATGCATTTCTGGAGCACCATGAGATGGGCTTTCGACACCACTTTCACTGCAAGAGTCCTTTCCTCCTTGTTCATCACTTATTGACCTATCAGTGCATTCTTTTTGGCAAGAAGACAGCGCTTCACAGTTTTGGGTTTTCTTCACTGTCCCTTCTGCTGAATTCTCACATAATAGATCGTCCCTCTCTGCCCCCTTTAACTTTCTCTGGGATACTGCTTTGACTTTTGATTGCAGGGCTGAAACGGCTGAACTGGAGGTAGAAGATTGGGTGGGGGAACATGCTTTGGATGTCAACAGATCGTTCTGATGGTCACTTGGTAGCTCAGCATCTTGCTTACTCCTTGGTTGTTCTGTCCCAGAGACCTCTTCTGTTTCCTCCTCCATTTTGCAATGAAGGTCACTTGAAAAACAAAAGAAGACAAAATTAAAAACCAGATGAAGTTACGGGGTTAGTTAACCAAAAACTGAAAACTCTGTCATCGTTTACTCACTTTGACTTTCTTTCAACCCAGACTCATTGTGAAAACATAGCCCTATATATGTTTCTGGAGAGCGCCAAATACATTCCAGGAGCTTTTTTTTTTTTTTTTTTTTTTTTGTCGTTTTTGTTTTCAAAATCCACCAGAGGTCGCTGTGTATGCTTTTTCAGATCTCAAATTTCTCTTGTGAGTGGCATTCGCGCCTGCTGTTCTCATGTAAATCCACCAGAGGACGCTGTCGACTGATTGACTGACTGGCTGACTGACTGACCAACCGACCGATCCCCCCTCACCCAACCAATAGTGTTTTCAAAAGCACCAATTGACCCGCCCACACACTTCTCTAAACAAACCGACCGTGTTTTGTAAAGCAATCCAGAAAAAGAAAAGCCCTTGCCTGATTTTAACCACATTTTCAGATTTTACTCACTCTGTTATTTATTTGTTTATTTAGTTATTTTCCTTTTGTTTTTGTTTTATCCACTTCCTGGAACCGTTTTCACCAGACTCAAACCCTGTCATCACGGTCAATCTCTGTGTCTCACGTCCACCAACATTTGTGGTGAGCCACTAGGCAAACTGGTAACAGCGGGAAAGCCGTCCACACGGAGGTAAGTGGTCAGCTGCTAGCATGAAAAGGTACGGCATTATACCACCCCAAAGTGTTTATTTTAAAGACCAAATGCAGGCATACGTACTTCTAACTACATAATTCACGATTTCCAGAAATGTATATAAGGCTACGTTTTCAGAATGAGTCTATGTTGCTTTCTTTCTTCTGATAAACATAGTAAGGTATTTCAAAGAAAGCTTGAAACTTGTAACCACTGACTTCCATAGTATTTATTTGTCCTACTCCGTTTTTTTTTCAGGGTTTCCGCTTTCTTCAAATTATCCTATTTTGTGTTCAACAAAAAATAAATAAACTCATAAAGGTTTGAAACCACACAAAGGTGAGTAAATGGTGAGTGAATTTTTTTATTTTTGGGGTGAATTATCCTTTTAAAGATTTTGCAGATTAGATTAAGTGTGTCATACTATAGTAGGTGCATTACCAACATGTGTACGTCACACAACATAAAATGAATATGAGCTTATAAATCTATAACTTTACCTTGAGGATGACAAAACTTCAAAATGGATTTAGAATAAATTGACAGTAACACTTTGTTTTGATGGTCCATTTGAGTATTATATGCACAAGTTTCTACATCTTGTTTATATATGAACAGCAGCTACGCTAATTATTCTCTTTATTCTCCATTTCCACCTGGGGATACTCATCCCGAGGTCCTCAGATTATGCGGAGTCACTGATTGGATCCAAGATCAGCGACGAGATGATCCCAAGGTGTCCATATCCGGGACCAGGCCGTATCCTGAGCTGCTACTGCGCTGTTGGTCAGGGGGGAGTGGAGAGCATGAGACTGATTCCAGTGACGCTCCAGGGACAGACGAGTCTTCGCTGAGGCCATCTTCCAGCCTCCACTGCTGAGACTGCAGCTCTGCACAAGACTTTTGGCCAGCGGAAAAATTAAAATGGTCGTGCCCAACTGAGTCTGATTCTCTCAAGGTTTTTTTTCTTCACTCTCCTATTGGTGAAGTTTTTTTTACCCTCTCCGCTGTCGCCACTGGCTTGCATGGTTCAGGATCTGTAAAGCTACGCATCGATGAATTTGCTCTTCAGTGTTTGGACTCTCAGTAATGATTTCAAACCACACTGAACTGAGCTAAACTGAACCGAACTTAAACACTAAAAACTGAACTACTCTGATCCAGTTACTATGACCATTTATGTGAAGCTGCTTTGACACAATCTACATTGTAAAAGCGCTATACAAATACAGCTGAATTGAAAATTGAATATTAGACTGTCTGCTCAATATCTGTTGATACTGCTCCTTCAACAGACATTTAACTGACATTTAACTTTGCAAGTACGTGTCAACACTAACCCCAACCCCATTCTAACAGTCTAATTATAATCTACTGAGAATTAGTTGGCATGTAGATGCAATGTAAATTAAATTCAACTGACCAAAATAAAGTGTGACCAAATTTTCCATTGGAAATGAGCATTTTTCTCAGAATCCAATGATTATGTTGAGTTATTTCATTTTAAAGACCTTTAAAAGAGTGTATTCTTTGCCATAAACTTGAAATTATTGAACCGACACACAGGAGTTTGATAAAAATGCAAATTTTTTTTAAGGAAATGTCAAACAGCTGTTAGAGGTTTTTGCATACAACTTGTCATATAGACACATGTAGTTTGTTTTTGTTTAAAGTTAAACGTCATGCAATCTTTAGGGTGGTATACTGCAGTTTAAAAGTTATAATACCTAAATTATAAATATTTCCCATTTAAATGTAAATATAAAAATATATTAAATATTAAAAATGTAAAAAAGTGTGTACATATCAGTACAATATGGGGGAGATTGGGGTAAACTTAGTATATGAACAGTATGTAAACAGTTGCAAATAAAGATTCTTTATGATAAGTGTCATGAAAAATCATTTGAATAAAAAAGGTTCATTACAGTGAGAAAAAAAAAGGTTTTTACAATGTATTTTAAACTAAAAATCAATAGATTCTTTAAATGCCCGTCCGCAAAAGCCTCTTCATGGAACCAAAATCTATTTTTTCTATGGCATCACTACAAAAATGTATCTATTATGTTTTAAGGCTGTGGATATCTGCATATATATGTTTAAATCAATTTTGTCAGGGTTATTTATTAAAATATGGTCAAAAAAACATTTATGAAACATTATTAACTATGATACATTATTAAATGACATTATATAATAAAATACATTGTATAACATCTTACCTTAATCCTCTCACTTACTGTCCATTTGAGTCTGTTACAGTTCACAGGTTCAGTTAAATAAATTACACTTACAAAATCATTCTTTCCTCTTCTTGCCCAGTAATTCTTGAATGGCCAAAAACCAAAATCAGAGTTAGCCGTTGAAATGAGAATCGTCTCCCATGATGCCCCTCTTCTTTCAGCCGTCAGCAGCACCTATCAGTGCACATCCGCTGCTGCTGGATTCCATCTCTAACCTATGAGCGCTCACTCAATATTCAGGATTGGTCTGTTAATCCCCGCAGAAATCAGACGGATTAGGCAAAAATGGAAAATAAATGCGTACTCTAATTCCTCTGATGTCAACCGCAGCATTTCATTGCATAAGATGGAACAATTCACAGAAGCGGCATTCACAAAGTGCAGGCGGTATGTAGAGGTCACGTGTGATAGAACAAGTATTTAGAGAGATGCCCCTGATTGCAGCTGGACAAAAAGATTATCTTGTGAGAGAGAAAAAATTCCTAGTGTTGGCAAATACCAAAACAAAAATACTGTACTAGATGACAGGGGGGGGGGGGTAGTTGTGCTAACTGAAGAGCGGGGGGATATGTCGCGCTCGAACTCAAGAGCAGGGGGGGAGTTGGGGGGGGTTGGTTGGTTTGGGGGCAGGGGGGATATGTCACTCGAAAACTGAAGAGTGAGGGGGGTGACGCAGGAAAACTTGGGGGGTGGGGGCGTGGCAATTTGGGTGGGGGGGTTGTGTTGCTAGGGCACTTCAGATCACTTTGGAAGGGCACTTTCTATTCAAGACTAAAAAGGGCATGTGCTCTGCACAGGTTGAGCCCTATGTGTGCACGTGCCTGATTTCCTCAACATTCTACACACAATACCCCATAATGACAATGTGGAAAAAGAGTTTTTGTAACAACAGGTCGTTCGAGTGTCTGCCGAACATAGGCTTGCACACAGTTTAAATACATTTCTGTGTCTTATTACTCCACCCAAATGTACACATTACACATCTCCATCAGCTTCTCCGCTAATGGGATCTTAAATCTCTCAGGTGGCCACCACCAACAGTATCTCAATGTCTTTCAGGGGTCTTACCCATGTCCAGTTAAGGTCTTTCCTTCCTGCTTCCTGCTCCTTCAGCCAAAAACAATGCTCAACAATATATCTTGTTCACAGTCCACTGAGCTTTCAACTGTAAGTTCAGCTGAAGTTCATAGGTACTCATAACTTTTTAGGTGTCAGTACAAATGAGTGTGGGCGCAGGTGCAGGTGCACTTTATTATGTGTTACAGAACAGAACGCAGGTGTCCTTTTGGCCTTGCTTCCATAAATCAACCCTCATTGTGACATTAATGCTGCTCTTCTAATTTATCTTGTCATCTCTAACTGCATTTGCACATAATTACTTTTTTATTTACCAAAGCTCACATATCTGATAATAATGCCACAGGTATGGGTAATAATATAATAGATAATAATAATAATAATATAATAGATAATAATAATAATAATAATAATAATAATAATAATAATAATAATACTGAAATCACTCAAATAAGCATATAAATGAGAGTATTACATTCATCAGGAATCCTTTCCCAGACATTAAGTCACAACGTGCTTTAAAATAAGAGAAAACAAGTAAAAAGAACACATGACAATAAAACAAGACATGTTTAAACATATTAAAACTAGTTAAAAATCCAAATACAGAAACACTAATACTGTTAATTGAAAGCTTGACTAAAAAGGTGCGTCTTTAAATCCTTATTTTTTTAAGTTCAACTGATCCCAGAGTTCTCAGTGCTATCGGGAGAGAGTTCCAGAGCCGTGGGGCCACCACACAGACGGCACGGTCACCTTTAGTCTTAAGACGAGTTCTGGGAATGGCTATGTCTTTGCTAGAAGACCTCAGAGACCGGCTACATGAGTGACTGCTTAAAAGATCTTGAACATACAGGGGTGCTTGACCATGCAGAGCTCTATATGTAATGACCAGAATCTTAAAATTTACTCTAAAACTGACTGGAAGCCCAGTGGCGTAGCGCAAAATGTGGGCCCCCCCCTGCAGGGATCACTGACGGAGGCCCCTGATGAAAAGGGGGGGGGGGGGAGCGATAACAAACTGAGGGGACGGGAGAAGTCGGTGGAGCGACGAAGCGAGGAAGTGATCACAAATTGAGGAGCGGAGAAGGGGGCGGGGTGGAGTGACAACGCGGGGAAGCCTTCACAAACTGAGGAGCGATCACAAACTGACACCGAAAGCGGCGAGAGCGTCAAAGTAGCCAGAAGTCATTCATTTTCAATGAGAACCGGCGGCGGAGAGCAGCACGGTGCGTCTTCTCCGGTGTGGGCGTCGAGAAGAGATAAAATCAAGTCAACTTCATGGTAATGACCTATGACGCGGTTTGGCTGCAAGCAATCAGAATGAAGTAGTCCACCGCTGGAGAGGAGTTCAGAGAACACAGACGTGAACTTTGGTTCCGACCACAGTTGTTCCCAGGAGTTTGATTATTGCGGTTGCTGGATTTTCAATCATTGAAAATCGCGAAGACGCGGGGCCCCCTAATCACGCGGGGCCCCCCCGCGGTGCGTGCCCTGCGGGCCCGTCCGCTACACCAGTGGTTCTCGAAGTGGGGGTCGAGACCCCCTGAGGGGTCGTGGGACAATGAAGAGGGGTCGCCTGGGGATTTCCAAAAATCTATTCATTTTTATTAAACCATAAGTATTACAATATATTATCCATAACCTACTGAAGAGAAAGAAATTATCATTTATAGTTACTATATACTATATAGTTACTATGGTAGCTTATAGTTACTAGTTCGACTTCTCAGGTAATTACATTTTATTGGAGACACAGCAATTGCATCAGATGCAGCAGATTGATTTTATAACACCAGGTTAAACTTCCTGGCCCATTCACAGCACTGACATACATAAAAAAATCAAACAAAGAATAGACTTGGGTCTATTGGTGTGTATGCACGCCATTGCTAGCAAGGTTTCTGTATTTATAACCATCTCAGAGGATGTTGGGGGTCGCGAGTCACTGGCATTGTCATTTTGGGGGTCATGGGCAGAAAAGTTTGGGAACCCCTGCGCTACGCCACTGTGGAAGCCAGTGAAGTGCCTTAAGCACAGGTGTAATGTGTGACCTCCTACTGGTGTTGGTTGGTTAAAGCCTTACCACTGCATTCTACACAACTTGCAATTGCTCCTTAGAGAATTTGTTCAGACTAGTTAACAGAACATTACAATAATCCAATCTAGAGGAGATGAAGGCATGGACAAGCATCTCCATCTCTTCCTTTGACACAATATCTCTGATTTTTGCAATGTTCCCCAGGTGAAAAAAGCATGTACAAACAACAGACTTAACATGGCTATTAAAACACAGAGCTCTATCAAGAATTACACCAAGATTTCTAATATCTCTGCAATTTGAAGATGATAAACCCCTAAAATCTGCCTGATCATTAGGGTGATGCTATCTGGAGCAAAAATCTGCCATCCATTTGTTAATGGAGACTAAATAAGTGTGTACGGATGTTTCCCAGTTCTGGGTTGCGGCTGGAAGGCTGTGTAAAACATATGCTGGATAAGTTGGGGGTTCATTCAGCTGTGGTGACCCCAGAGTTCATGTTTTCTCCCATGGTTATGAGTGTTTTCAGGTTGAGCCCGGATGCATCGCGCTGCTCGGACAGAGGGGGCGCCGCTACTATCTCGGTTCATCTCTCCCTCGGTTAACTCGAGCGCTGCCGTTTGCTGGCAGTTTTACGCGAGGAACTCCCGAGCTACTTCGGCAACCCGTTATAACGGTCGACATGGCGACCAAGGAAATTATCAAGCGTTTTCTTAAGGAAAGATGAAGATAGTCGATACTCAGTGAGTATGAACGGGTGAGTGTGCAATTGTTGTCTCGTGGTCTGTGGCTTGCAGAATAGCGCATTTTCATTGCATTATGTGTTGGCTTCTGGGTGTGGACCGCACACTGTTGGCTAACGGCTAATCTGATAGCACGTTTGCAGAATTTAGCCGCCCGGCTAGCCTTTGCCGTGATCTTTATAGTATTTTCAGTCAGCTCTGAGACATATCGGATGGTTAATTCGTGAGACGCGAAGTTTTAGGTGCTGTCTTTGTCAGCGAAAAGGATCTCGGTTGTATATTGGACTGAAATGGCTATCTCGTTAGCCAGTGTATCATGTTAGCTTCGGCAATAGCCGAACTGAACGGTGTGTTTACACGGGCCTCCGTTTACAAAAATAGCTATTTACAGTAATTCACGTGACCGCGTATTTGCATCTATTCTTATCACATGTCATGTTTCCGCTACAATGTGTCGATGGTGGAGTGAACAATAATCGAGTGTTTTGGTCAGGTTCAGCGGTTGCTATGTTACATAATCGCGGGATCTCTTGAGGTTTAGCTCAGACATCTCTCGTACGATCGTGTGTTTCTCACGTCTTATTTCACCTCACCTAAGGAAGTTTGCAACAATCACATCCTGTAGTACATTTTTTATCTTGCTAACAGTCTGTGAAAAGAACTGAAGTGTAGCAAATTACTGAGATACAGGATTCAGTGGACGTTGTGTTAGCTTGGCAGCTAATGAAGAGAGACGAAATGTTCGAAGTTAAATTCTTTTCTTTTGTGAATTGGCTTGATTTTAACATGTAGCTATCAAACTTGTGCGTAGAAGTTACAGTGCTTAAAATCTACAAAGTTAAGTTTATTGACATTAGTTTGCTGTAGGGAAACCTTCACACTTTAAAGGATGCAAATGTAATAGTAAATTAAAAACATAACTTGATCTGTCAGGTTAATCGTTGGACGTTAGGACAGCTATTTTGTAGAGCACATTTATCTTTAAACATGCTAATCAGTCATTTAATATAATGTTCACACATTTGCATGACTTTATTAGAACAGACATCTACACCCTGTGTGAGGGCAAGTTTAATACTTTGTGCTGTAATTGGAGTCAGTGGTATAGTTTTTATATTTGTTCATTTCACATTTTCTTAATTTGTCGATGAGGATAAAAGAAGCCCGTCAGATTATAAAAGATTATGTAGAAAGCAGCAGTATAAATGCTGTAACGATAATTAATAGTTCATTCAATCATTTTAGTTTACTTTTTGAAGCCTCAAGTGGTTTCAAACAAAACAAAAGAAGATATTATGAGAATGTTGGAAACTGGTAACCATTAATTTTCATATATTTTTAGTGCTGGGCAAAATAGCATGCAAAATAAAAGTTTGTTTTGACATAATTTAAGTATGTGTACTGCTTATATTTATTGTATACATATACACATGGATGGATGTGTATACACATACATTTATACAGTTGTAGTCAGAATTATTAGCCCCCTTTTGAATTTTTCACATTTTCTGATAATATTTTTCTTCTGGAGAAAGTCTTTGTTTTTTTCCCTACTAGAATAAAAGCTGTTTTTAATTTTTTAAACACAATTTTAAGGACAAAATTATTAGCCCCTTTAATCTTTTTTTCTTTTTTTGGATAGTCTACAGAACAAACCATGGTTGTACAATAACTTGCCTAATTACCCTGTCCTGCCTAGTTAACCTTATTAACGTAGTTAACCTTTAAATTTTACATTAAGCTGTATAGAAGTGTCTTGAAAAATATCTAGTAAAATATTCTGTACTGTCATTATAGCAAAGAATGTTCAGATTATATTTGCTGAGGTGTTCATAATATCGAGACTTAATTGGTCATTTATCATAATTGTCTAAACATTTACATAATCTGGCCTACTACACTACTATACTACACTACTACTAGGTTATATATAGGTATATTGTACATTAAGGCTTTAATAGTTAACATTAGGTAATTTAATTTAAGTCACAATGTAGGGTTGTAACGGTATGAATTTTTCACGGTATGATAATCGTCTAAAACAATACCACGGTTTGACGGTTTCGCGGTATACGGTATGTTACAAATGTTACAAAATAATAGAACAGTGAAGCAAATTTGACCTTTTCCAAATAATATATTTTTAGTTACTATAAACACCACTTACAATGAACAAATAAAAATAAGAAAATAATAAAAAATGTGTCAAAGTCCAAATAAAGTCCAAATAAACATGGTGCAAATCCTCAGTAAAAAATAGATATAAATATTTACTATACTATAAATAGTTACATAACGAAACTAGATTCAATATGGAACATCCTTAGGTTTTATGTGCCAGCATGGATATGGTTGTCTATCGATATGGATTTGGATATGGTTGTCTGCAATGCAGACAAACAGCTGCATCTTCATTTGCGTCTTTTGAAAACAGCAAGAGCAGCAGTTCGTCTTTGCTGTGTCACTGTTTTGTCATGTTTCTGTGCTGCTGTGCATGCAAAAGTACTTAGTATGAGAATTATTTCATGCAAAACTTTTTTTTTTTTTGCGTTTTATTTAGCCGCGCATAAATGTATGCCTATCTCTCATTCCGTGTTGTTCAAAAAGCTTGGTTCACAAACAAAAGCGAAACCTATGCTTATTGGTTGTGATATAGCGAGTTTGAACCAATCTGGGCATGGAGGAGGGACAATGTATCAATGTATCATGTCTGATTTGTCCGGAGACACAGTGACGAGCGTTTCTTTGTCAAATCAGCGTTGTCAAATGTTGATGACGTAACCGCACTGATTCCGGAGCCTCTGGAGGTCCGCGAATGTTATGTGATACAGCACTGGAAAGCTGAGATTCTCTTCTTTATGCCAATCTTTGAATTGTATGAATCGGATCAGCGGATCAAAAGTTATTAAACATTTAAGAGCAATACTTATTTTTAGCCGCGGGCGGCTGTCTCGGTCTTTAAGGGTTAAAACCGTTGATATGCAATTGTTCATGGTATGATAATCGTGCACGTTCAAATCGTGGTAAACCGTCATACCGGTATATTGTTACAACCCTATCACAATGACAGCTTTTATTAATTTTAACTAATGTTCATTTCTTAGTTAATGCCTAATAACTTGGTAAAATTGTAGTCAAAATGAGATCAATTGGAATCATTTTATTAAATAAAGTAAATAATAATAATAAAAAAATGAGATAATATTTACCCAGTAGTTGTAATCAATCAGTTTGATTTAATCCGTTTACTAACATTTACTAATAAGACTTTAGTGTAAAGTGTTACATCAGTTTTTTTGGCATTTCATTTGTTTGAATCTTTTGTTTACTCTGATCATGCATAAACTAAGCAACATACTAAGTATTTTTTGGTTGTTATACCTGTTAAAGTAACCTTTTTTGCAGCTATGGTCAATATTGTGATAATAACGTATATTGATAAAAGCCTTACTTAATCTTAACAAGAAAATATGAGATTATCATCAGTCTAGATGCAAAGCTGGCCAAAATTAACCAGTGCACATATAAAACATACACACACACACACACACACACACACACACACAGTGGTTGCCAAAGCAATGTGTTTGTAATCGCCGTCAGTTGTAATATTGTATTGGCACAATTCTTTTCTGAAAAGAAGAAATGTTTCTGCTTCAGGAGGATTTAAAGATTTGTTAATAAATATTTAAACTGTATTCTTTTGTTTGCGTTTCTAGTTTGTTTGTGTAGCAACAGCTGTCTGATGTGGTCTGTCTAAAATTAGCCAGTTCCTGTTTTTATGCTCTAATTGTGTTGCTTGATAATGTGCCTCATGAGTCCACCATATCAGTGCATTTATTGTTTCATTTCCATATTTGACTGATTCTCCCTTTTGTTTCAGGTTTCAGGTTTCACACCATGTGATGATCACCCGGGACGTGTGAACTTATTTAAGAACTCCTGTGTTCAGAAGATTTTTTGATTCCAGTGGAATCTTTCATTCCCCCCTCCATCTATTATTTCCTTTTTTGTTAAATGAAACAACACCCAGTCACACACACACCCAGGAGAATCCCCCCCACCCTTGTTTACATGTAGAACAACCCCGCTACGATGCCTGTACAAGCTCCACAATGGACAGAGTTTTTGCTGTGTCCGATATGCACCCAGACGTTCGAGGAGACGGTGCGTCGGCCCATCAGTCTGGGCTGTGGCCACACCGTTTGCAAGATGTGCCTCAACAAGCTGCACCGCAAGGCCTGCCCCTTTGACCAGACGGCCATCAATACTGACATTGAACAGCTGCCCGTCAACTCGGCCTTGCTACAGCTGGTCGGGGGTCAGGTGAGGCATTTTGACCATGCTGACTGAGCATTGTGGCCTCTTTTTTGGTTCACAACACTTACTCGGTACTTCCGCTTTATTTGTCAATTTCTTTCAGGTTCCGAAACAGCAACCGGTGGCGCTCATTACGTGTCCAGAGGACACAAAGCATTATGATGAGGCACGGCAGTGTGTTGAGGAGCTGGCCCTCTACCTCAAACCCCTCAGCAGCGCACGAGGTAACTGCCATGCTCATCAAATAGTGCTGGAAATCAATTGCTTTTGTTACAGAAGGAATTAAAGCTTAAAGTTGCTGGTTTACCACTTTTTTAGATGAGAAACTGTATCTTATATCTTCATCTACATTGATTACAGTATGATTATTTTATATTCATAAAAGTTTAAAGTCTTTTAATAAACTCTAGTAACACTACATGTATTTCCAATAAGCATTTTTAGTCAGTTCCCTTTAAAGAATCAATAATCAAAAAACTTTGATCAGCATTCCGTAAAAAAAAAAAAAAAAAAAATATATATATATATATATATATAATTATTTTTTAGGGGTTTTCACCTTTATTGATAGGACAGTGGAGATATAGAGACAGGAAAGTGTGGGGAGCAGAGATAGGGTAAGGATCAGCAAAGGACCTCGAGACGGGAATCGAACTCGGGTCGCTGCGAGCACCTCTGTGCTATGTGTCGACGCACTAACCACTAGGCTATTGGCACTGACGTATATATATATATATATATATATATATATATATATATATATATATATATATATATATATATATATATATATATATAAGGCTTGGGTGGTAATACGGTAATGTGGTATACCGCAGGATCTAAAAATAGCAACGGTGTCACTTTCAATACCATTATACCGTCATAAAAAACAATGCACTCAAATAGGAGAAAAGTAGTAAAGATTAAATATTATTTATTTACTGCCTACAAATGCGTATGCGGGATTGTCATCACAGGACAGTGTGGAGGAGAGCGGTGAGGGAAGAAGGCGAGTCGCTTATCAAGTGACCTACAGTTTGGCAGTATTTCCGTAGGTGTGTGAATTAGAGTGAGCGTCCTGCGCAGATCTCTAATACGAACAAGACAAACAGGTGACTACAGACCTAAGGTCGCATATATGGTATTCAGTTTCTAAATGGTTGAGGCACAAGCCAACAGTTTTGTGACGCTGTCTGAGCCTTACGTCATAATTTTTTTTTATTATGCACGGTAATACCAGATACCAAGGTAAAATAGGGAGGAGGTTTGACTATTTTGATACCGCCCAAGTCTTAAATATATATATATATATATATATATATATATATATATATATATATATATATATGTATATATGTATATGTGTGTCTGTCTCTCTGTGTGTGTCTGTCTGTCTGTGTGTATACAGGTGAAGAAATGAAATTATTAGCCCACCTGTTTATTTTGTCCCCCAAATTCAATTCTGGTTAACGGAGAGAAGATTTTTTATATTCATAAACATAATAGTTTTAATAACTCATCTCTAATAACTGATTTATTTTATCTTTGCCATGATGACAGTACATAATTTTTTACTAGATATATTTCAAGACACTTCTATACCGCTAAAAGTGACATTTAAAGGCTTAACTAGGTTAATTAGGCAAGTATAATGATGGTTTGTTCTGTAGACTATCGAAAACAAATGTAGCTTAAAGGGACTAATAATTTTGACCCTAAAATGGTTTTATAAAAATAAAAAACTGATTTTTTTACACTAAATAAGACAAATAAGACTTTCTCCAGAAAAAAAATTTACATCATCAGACATACTGCAAAAATATATATTTCCTGCCAACTTTAAATCTGTGTGATGGGCACGGCAGATGATTTTTCTGTTTTTTGGTGTATCCAGGAGTGGGGTTGAGTAATGCTGCTCAGAGCATGCTGAGCCGGCCTATGCAGAGGAAGCTGGTGACTCTGGTGCACTGTCAACTGGTGGAGGAAGAAGGACGGGTCAGGGCCATGCGGGCAGCTCGATCTCTGGGTGAAAGAACTGTTACAGAGCTCATTCTGCAGCACCAAAACCCCCAGCAGCTCTCATCCAACCTGTGGGCTGCTGTGAGAGCCAGAGGCTGCCAGTTTCTGGGTCCTGGTAAGAAAACTGTTAGAAAGCCTGTTCACACTTGCATGAATGTTTGTCAGGCAAATTCGGTCCTGTTTACTCATGTTAAAGGGACAGTTCACTTTACTTGTTCCAAATCAGTCAAGATTTTTTTTTTTTTATTGAACACAAAAGAAGATATTTTGAGATAGATGCTGCAAAACATAGGAAAAAAATGGACATTTAAGAGGATAATTTATCAAAATGACTCCTTGTAAATATATTACATTTTACATTTAGTCATTTAGCAGACGCTTTTATCCAAAGCGACTTACAAATGAGGACAAGGAAGCAATTTACACAACTATAAGAGCAACAATGAATAAGTGCTGTAGGCAAGTTTAAGGTGTGTAAAGAGTGTAAGAAGCAAAACATTATTAATTAATTAATTTTTTTTTTTTTTTGTAGTTAGTGGATGAGTCAGAGAGGGATATTAATAATTTTACATTGATTGATTTGTAAGTGTATGCATCGCCATCAGAACTACAAAATAATATAAACAAATGAAAGCACATGAAAACAAAGATAAAAATGATATGAACCAGGCTTTATGATTTTCAGTAGAGTCGCTGAACAGTATTGAGAAACAGAAATTCAATAATCAAATGTGAAATAACACTGTATAGTCTTCATTGTGTAAATAAACACAATTAATTGTTGTTAAAGCTGCAAACTTTATGGATTTTTGTGCCCCAATGGTTCAAATTCACTTTTACAGAATATTTACATTTACAAGCCTTAAAAAACTATTGATTTGAACATTGTGATATCGATGCTGAAAAGAGTATGCAAAATCACTCCTTGACGTTAGATGGTGCTACATAACTTTAAGCTTCCGACACCCGCTTGTAAGAGGAAGAGAGAAATTTCACACGCTTGTTGTTAAAGTTACTGGTGACTCGAACAAGCATAGATGGTTCAAGCAGCAGCTCCAGCTGTAGTGATGAAGAAATGATTATTACTCACCAGTGCAATAAGCAGCTCTGCTTTCATATCGCCTCTGGGCTCCTTCTTTAATGTGCGCTCGCATTGACAGTTTTGCACTTGAGCGCCTCCAAGTGCAGTTTACTGTAACTTAAGCAGCTCCATGCACGTGAACAAAAGTGGCAACCTGATTGGTGGAGGTTTTAACGCTGCGCGTCAAATAAAAAAACGAGCATGAGGTGTTTTTTTTTTTAAATGACGCTTTTGTGCCTGGCGTTTTGCGCGTTGGTGTGCACGATTACATTGGCGTCCTTTATATAGCCACGAGGCGTTAAACATCGATGGAAAACACGAGCAAAAAAACGTCTCGGTGTGCACGGGCCTTAAGGGTGTTTTTTTTTTTTTTATATACATTTATAATTTTACCAAAAAAAGCAATAACTTAATAATAAATTTACAATGAAAAGGATACACATTCAGAGAGTAACCAAAGAATACAATTTTCGGGGAAATACAGAAGTTTGGAAATAAGAGTTTTTTACTGAAATTGGAAAAGTCGATTCAAAACTCATTACAGTAAGTACACTCCCTAAAATAAATGATTTAGTGTTTCATCATGCTGAGTACAAAATAAGCATTTCAGGCAAATATTGTTATTAAATTTAGCTAGTTTGGTATTTATTGGGTAGCAATTATGAATGATTTAGATTGAGACTTTTAACAGCTTTATTAGATAAAAAAAAAAATTCTGTAGAAGCCAAAACTGTTCCCAATCTATGTCATCAAATATATTATTCCAAAAACCAATGCAAGCAGGTAAAGAGATCCGAGAACTATTAATAACCAAGCAAATATCTTTAGTCAACAAAAAGGTTTGTGTTGTCAAAAATAAAAGAATCTACCTATCTAACCTTTGGGGCCAAATTTGACTAAAGGTATACACAATCAGGGATTGCACCAAAAACGATTTTCATTGGGGGTAACAGGAAAAGAAAACTGATGCATAAAATTTTCGTATGAAAATAGGGACATCACAGTCATCTAAGAGCTGACTAACTAAAAGTATTTTTAATAAACCAGTTATTTACAGAGATTTATTTTTATATCTATTATTTGATTATCCCGATTAAAATAGGTACATTGAGAAACATTATAACTATATGTAAGGGACCAACATATTAAAGCCTGTTTATAAAAACTAGACATGTTTAATTGTATTTTAGAGATGTCAAAATTACAGCGCAACAAAAAATGTAAACCTCCAACTGAGCTAAAAATATCATTTGGAATAAAATTACAACATGATGTTGGATTGTTCAAAAACATCCTTAACCACTTAATTTTAAATAAATTATTAAGTCTGGAAAAATCCACTAAATCAAATCCTCCCATGGCCCAATCAGCTAGCATACCACTTTTTTTTTCAATTAGGAGAATTTTACAGTTTCAAACAAAGTCTAATATAATTTTGTCTAGTGTTTGACAGATTTCCACAGAGACATCCAGTGCCATAGCGGGATAGATAACCTGGGATAATCCATCTGCTTTAGAAAATAACACTCTACCTGTTATTGATGAATCGCGCTGTAACCAAGAATTTACTTTGCGCCGCACAGAAAGCATAAGAGGTTTAAAATTTAGCTTTGATCTCTTTTTATGATCTTTACATACAATTATACCTAGGTGTTTGATTTCAGATTTAACTGAGATGTCACAAATTTTACTATCAGTAGTGGAGTCTTTTACTGATACATATTTATGAGTTGTGTATCTTTTAAAAGTTCACATTTATGAACATTAAGATGTAAACCAGAAGCAAAGGAAAAAAAAGATTAATTTTGTGTAAAGCTAAGAAGACCTGATCTTTATTTTGTAAGAAAAGAGTTGTGTCATCAGCTAGTTGACTAATTAAAAACGATCGATTTGCCACAGAAATGCCTTTCAAATTACTATTTTGAATATCAAAGGATAAAATGTTGCCTCTTTTAATGTTAAATCTACGAGTGGTACCATGTTGTAATTTCACTGAAGCATTAGCTTTACTGTACACAGTTTGAATAGCATTACAAAATTAGGACCAAAACCAAACTTAATGATTTAAGAATAAAAGGGAACTCAATGAAATTAAATGCTTTTATAGAAATCAAGAAAAAGTAAAAAAAACTCATCTGGTATCATCTCTGCGTAATCCAAAATATTAAGAGCAAGACTTATATTGTTTGAGAGAAGTCTATCCTTCAAAAAGCCAGACTGACATTCATCTATTGTATCGTCTAGAACACATTTAATCTTTTTGGCAAAAATCATAGCTAATATCTTATAATATCTCATAATAGTAATTATTCAGACTTATAAAGACTTATAGGTTGCCAATTTTCCAACAGAGAAGTGTCTTTTTGAGGTTTTGGAATCAGATTTATAATACCCTGTGTCATAGAAAGTGGAAAAAACAAAATAATTAAATGCCTTTATTGGTCGTTTGACCTCATCTAACATCTCATTATTGTGTATGTCTTTTTTATCTTCAGCCATGCAGGAGGAGGCACTGAAGCTGGTGTTGTTGGCCTTGGAAGATGGATCTGCTCTTTCCAGAAAGGTTCTGGTTCTTTTTGTGGTACAGAGACTGGAACCGAGATTTCCTCAGGCCTCCAAAACCAGTATTGGACATGTAGTTCAGCTCCTCTACCGTGCCTCTTGCTTTAAGGTTCATTTCCTTGGCTTGTGTTTCACATCTCACTTGAGCTGTTTATGTTCATTTTCTATCCATCCATCCATCCATCCATCCGTCCATCCATCCATCCATCCATCCGTCCGTCCGTCTGTCTGTCTGTCTGTCTATCATTCTTTCTGTCCATCCATCCACCCACATATCTATCTATCTATCTATCTATCTATCTATCTATCTATCTATCTATCTATCTATCTATCTATCTATCTATCTATCTATCTATCTATCTATCTGTCTGTCTGTCTGTCTGTCTGTCTGTCTGTCTGTCTGTCTGTCTGTCTGTCTGTCTGTCTGTCTGTCTGTCTGTCTGTCTGTCTGTCTGTCTGTCTGTCTGTCTGTCTGTCTGTCTGTCTCTGTCTGTCTGCCTGTCCTTCCATCCGTCTATCTATCTATCTATCTATCTATCTATCTATCTATCTATCTATCTATCTATCTATCTATCTATCTATCTATCTATCTATCTATCTATCTATCTATCTATCTATCCATCCATCTATCTATCTATCTATCTATCCTTCTGTCCGTCTGTCTGTCTGTCTATATATCTTTCTGTCTATCTGTCTGTCCGTCCATCCGTCCATCCACCCACATATCCATCCATCTATCCATCCATCTATCCATCCGTCCATCCTGTCCATCCATCCGTCCGTCCGTCCGTCTGTCTATATATCTTTCTGTCTATCTGTCTGTCCGTCCTTTCTATCTATCCATCCATCCATCCACATATCTGTCTATCCATCTATCCGTCTATCCATCTGTTCATCCTTAATTCTGTTGCTCTTCATGTCTAAATGATCCTTGATTCATCACCCCGACAGCAATAACATTAACAGCAGTAGCTCAGAGGTTTCATTTGAATCTCATCTGTGTAATAGGTGACTAAGCGAGATGAGGATTCATCGCTAATGCAGTTAAAAGAGGAGTTCCGCACATATGAGGCACTTCGGCGGGAACACGACTCTCAGATTGTTCAAATTGCAATGGAGGGAGGGCTTCGCATTGCCCCCGATCAGTGGTCGTCTCTGCTTTATGGAGACCAGTCTCATAAATCCCACATGCAGTCCATCATTGACAAGGTATGAAACCTCTCTGTCTATAAAGTTTGACAATTCTTAAACTGTTATTGGTCACACTTTACAATAAGGTTCATTAGTTAATGTTAATTGATGCATTTACTAACATGAAGAAACAGTGATCAATACATTTACTACTGTATTTGTTCATGTTATTTAACATTAGTTAATGAAAATAGAGTAGTTCATTGTTAGTTCATGTTAACTCATGGTGCATTAACTAATGTTAACAAGCATGAACTTGAATATTAATAATGCATTAGTAAATGTTCAGTTACAATTAATAAATGCTGTTCAAGTGTTGATTAGTTCATGTTAGTAAATGCATTAACTAATGAACCTTATTGTAAAGTGTGACCCTGTTATTGTTTCAGAATTAGGGTTATGGAGAATATGGCTTTGTCTTTCAGTTGCAGACCCCAGCATCGTTTGCTCAGAGCGTGCAGGAGCTGACCATCGCTCTGCAGAGGACAGGTGATCCAGCCAATCTCAACCGGCTAAGACCTCATCTGGAGTTGCTCGCTAACATCGACCCCAGTCCAGGTTTGTTACAAGATGGACAAACCTACTATGATGGATTTGTTCAAAATGGCTGATTCATTGAGTCGTTGTCTTACTGGATTATTTTAAAACAGATTAAATTCAGAACTAAGCATTGCAGTACGGCACTGAAATCCTCAAATGATCTGCTCCAGTTTAATATCGATATAGTTTTGCTGAAGAAACTAATTATTGCGTCACACCTGTCATATTTAGTTTGACTGAATCAGTCTTCAGTTTCTCTCTCCTTTTGGTGTGAATACCAGATTGATTACACCCGTTGTAGAATGACTGCAGGGTGACACATACGTTTTTAATAGAAGATCCTCCCACTTGTTCTCTTTGCAAAAGCACTTTATCAATGAAGCTTGTTCTATTATTGTGTCGGCTTTAATTGTGTGAAGAATGTTTTGCAATCATTGTATATCCAGTGTTTTTAGCTGCTGTGACATGAGTGGAACAATCACCTCTAGTTTCTGATCCCACCTAATAATCTCTTCTGGAATAAAATAGATAAAATGGCCAATAAATCATGAAGATGAGTGAATGAGCTGGAGGAATGATTGTGAAAGGCACATGCAGTAGGCTTACATATCATTCCTGCTCGCTCGTCAGGATTTTGCACTCAAACGATTTCATTCAGCCAGAATCTTCATCTTTATATGTTATACAAAGATGTGCTGCTATCAATAGTTGGAGATGAGCAAACCCTTTAAATGGCCTTGTGTGTATTTAGACCTACTAACTAGGGGTGTCAAATCAAAATCGATCGAAATTTATGCTCAATTTCGATTATCGAATCAAAAAATAGAATCGTCGATGCTGCCACGCCCCCATGTCACGTTAGCTTGGCTTGCCAAGCGGGAAATAACAGGCTTGTTGAAGTGCTTGTTAAACTGCAGAAGCAGGAGACCCGTCGACAGAACTTAAACCCTCTCCTCTTTCAATGAAGTCGCCAGTGTGTAAGCATTTTGGAGTTTTGCAAGCTCTGCTATGTACGTATTACGTACGGTTCGTTCGATAGACAACACCGGCATCGCGATCCTCCGCCGTTGCAAATCCGCTCGTGAAAAGTACACACTCAGACCGTTTACACTGTCTTTGTTTTTAAATGGCATTTTAGAACGACAATGATTTGACATCCACAGTGGCGTGTAGCATTTCTGTGCAGCCCTCCTTCCTCTCTACCTCTGAAAATGCACATCACGTGACCACACAGACACAGACGCACACAGCCATGCGTTCCAGACTGCAGGTCCAGGCAGTCAGAGGACTGCTTCAATCTTTCACTCACTTGTACTTAGTCATTTTAGCGAACACCTCAGATACTGTTGGCTGGTTCCTGTTGGTTGTGCGTCTTTTTTTGTGCGTCTTTTTTTGTGCGTCTTTTTGACGCCATTATAACGACACAGATCACTGCCTATTCACGAGTCCCGCAGAAAAAGTGATTGACAGGTGGTAATTATGTGTGTAACTTGCCTTTATTCATTTACTGTATGATTTGTTTATGGCTAAAACAAAGACCATGCAGGTCAGGTAGTTTAAACGGTAGGCTACAAATAATTAATTGGTCATTAATTATTTAATTATTCATAATCGAAAATCGAATCGAATCATGCCTTCTGAATCGAAAATGTAATCGAACCGAGGATTTGGAGGATCGTGACACCCTTACTACTAACATACAGGATCTAGATGTTTTGTTCACTAAACCCTGGCTGGAAATATTCTGAAAATTAAAAACAAAACTTCAAAAAAAAAATTTAATATTCAAATTGCTTGAATATTTAGTAATAGAACTTGAATATACTTGTTTCCATGAACCGTTTTTAAGCCTGTTTCCTTTTAGTAAAGAAAAAATGGAAAAGAGGCTTTATTTAATAGGACAGTGATATGAAGCTTGAAGCATTAGAATTGGTACTTGGTATTGGTCAGTCACCTTCATGAGAATTCAGTACAGGGGTATCGACTGCAACCCACCCCACCCCCACCGATTCAGGGCTCTGTTTTCACATCTCTAGTTTGAAAAAAGTCAGGAAAATGGGGGAGTCCAGCTCTGCTTAGATGGCATTGTTTAGTGGCGAAAGAGGGAAGGACTTTCATGAAAGGGGGAGTTTCAGTATGTGCATGAGCTGTTTTTTTACAGAGGCAACGCAAACACAGACACGTTTACATGGACATCAGTAATCAAATTATTTGCCTTTATCTGAATGAGACAATAATGTGATGGTGTTTACATGAGTTGCTTTTTGAATGTTCCTTTTATGATCACGTTTACATGTTACATATAGCACATAGATTGATTAACGTCATCATGTCACCACGATATCCACATTTCCTCTAGAGCTTCATGTAATTTTAGGTGTTTGGTTCTTAATTTGTCGACTTTAACTGCACTTTGGCACTTTCACTGTAATTTACACATTTGGGTCCATATGCCAGCTGTGCACTCATTGTGGAGAAATGGAAATAAAACCTTTGTGGTAGCACATTTATAAATGCAACACTGACGAACAATGCCTTCAAACAATTCTTCTACTACTAAATGTTTAAATTATGGTTGGTAAAACAACGTGGTGTCTTTCTGAACACTATTAACAGGTAAAATGAGTCCTCGAAGCTATATCATGCATATTAATGAAGTTGCTTCTCATTCACAATAGAGCGCACTGATTGATTCGAACCAAGTCTTTCTTATGAATTAATAAACAAATGTGCTGAAAACTCAATGACATCACTTTGTACTCACTGATACAGACAGCCAAACTACAAGCTGGAATTTACATAAGGATGCTTTAAAGGACAAACTGGAATAATGAATTTGCTGTAAACAAAGCAAAAACAACAAATGTTTACTTGTTAGCTTGATATACGTGTACTAATAGTGCTTTTAGCAACGTGGGACATGTATATGACTTTCAACACTTCAAAAAATGTGTTTTGGCGTTTCATGACCCATGACCGCACACGTGTGGTTTGTTTACAATTTCTAGTTCACTTTCCTAAAGAGCTGTATAAAAAAGCAACCCGCACCTAATAAACAAAACCGCATTGTGATTGGTCTCCACCAAAGCAAGTGAACTAATGGACTTTTCTGGTGTGAATATTTCTTAGACAATATTACCTTTTTTGTAAAACTGTAATCTGGAAAATGGCACTTTTGCTTGTGTGACATTACTTGACTATATATATATATATATATATATATATATATATATATATATATATATATATATATATATATATATATATATGGATTTTTTTTAAGCGTCTGCATGATCTTTATTCAGATGCTCCTCCTCCAACCTGGGAGCAGCTTGAGAAGGGTCTTGTGGCGGTAAAGACGGTGGTGCATGGCCTTGTGGACTTCATCCAGAACCACAGCAAGAAGGGTGCAGACACTCAACAGCCCCCACAGCACAGCAAATACAAGACATACATGTGCAGAGACATGAAGCAGAAAGGAGGCTGTCCCAGAGGAGCTAGCTGCACTTTCGCTCACTCTCAGGAGGAGCTGGAAAAGTGAGTGTCATTGCAACATGTCACATGTTCAGTTGTGGTAACCCTTTAACTAGTGTGATCAGTCTAGGCTGGTCTCTAGAGGATAGGATTGGTATATTTTGCATAATGTGATCAGCTGCTAAATTCACATTCGCTTTACTGCAATGACTCGCGCTGAGCCAGAGAAACATGCACCACTAGTTTATAAGCAAATATTGTTTATTAACGATCATAGCATTTATATAACAGTTTAGGTTGATCAAACATTTAGGCCCAATTCTACTCCTTAGCCTTTCCCTTTACCTCTCGTTTTGCGCGTGCACGCCAAGGGGTAGAGGTGTCCCAATTCTCTTTACCTTGAAGGCGTAGGGCTAAGGGGAAGGGGTGAATAACCCTTCGAACAAAGATTTTTCAGGACCACACTTGAAACCAAGGGGTAAACCTGGGAAAATTTCCCAGAATAAACCAGCCACAGCGGCAGTATTGCTGAACTCGGAAGGAGATCCACAAATTAGTATTTTTTGTCATTATTACGAATTTTTAAGACAAACAAACACATGTTTTTATATATTTATATCCGTGTTTTACCGTCATGCTTTAAAAAAAACCCGCTAAATTTCGCAATCTATAATCCCTATTAAATAACTCCTATACAGCAGTCCCACAGCATTTTGACACTGGAATACCCTGTCAGTAATGTCTAGTGGCTGTCAATGGGCTTTTTAGAGTATCTACTTTAATGTTAGTGTTGTTTTCGTGTGTTTACATCGATGAATATAACCACTGTGGAAATACACAGTACTGTTAAGATCTTATTGCCACATTAGATCATTATGATAACATAATATATGGCTTCAGTGATCTCCTGAAGATAAATACCAGAAAATAACACAACTGGAATCACTACAGCAGTCGCGATCGTCTGATCTCATATGAAGCAAGAGATTGCGATGACATCTGATAACGTGTGCAGGTGCTGTCCAAATTCTTAAGGGTCAATTTTGAAGCCCTAGGGGTAGGGGTAGGGGTACAAAAATAGAATTGGGATTGGGCCTTACTTCTCATCTCACAGTTATCGGGCCCTATCATACACCCGGCGCAGTGTGGCGCAAGACGCGGCGCAGTAGTCTTTTGGTAGTTTCAGCTTGGCGCAAGAGTCGTTTTGAGGCGTTGCGCTACGCAGTTTAAATAGCAAATGCATTAGCGCTCATTTGTGCGCCCATAGGCGTTCTGGTCTAAAAAGGAAGGCGTTTCTGAGGCGGACCGCTGGCGCGTTGCTATTTTGAGAAACTATAATAGATTTTTCATTAGACCAAAACTTACCCGGTCTAAACTCCAGCGCAGAGTTGCGCCTCGCTTACGCACTGCTTAATACGCACAAGAGAGCAATAGGCAAATCTCTTTACATATGAAAAAATTTTAATATTAAGGATATATATAGGATAAAATAAGAATAGATATAGAATATAAATATAAAGGATTATAATATTACAAAACATTTTCTAGCCTATATAAATATGAAAAATCACCGCTTTTATGTCTTCTTCATCTCGGGAGGCTTTTTCAGTTCATTCATAACAATTTGCTTTTGTATAATGTTATTATTATTAGCAGTATTATTTAATATATCCATATTTATATTTGTTTTATTAAAAACAAGCTTAGATTTGTCCACCTGTCAGGTTTAAGACCATATGGGGCATGGCAGGTGTATTTGGAAATAACTCAGTATTTTGACCACACTTGGTCATTATTGTTCATTTATTCGTTTGCTAGAAATTAGAACTGAATTTAGAAATAGTTTTGAAACCAATATTTGCGCTTAACAAACAAAATTAATTATTTATAGACTAATTGATGTCTGTGCGTAAAGGTTTCCCTATCCAAGAGCGAATGTGAAAGTAGTTCCATTATCTCTCATTCTCACGCAGTAGATGCTCTGTTTAACAGTTTTCTGTTAAAAAAAACTGTCAACTGTTAACTGTTTGCTTGTGAAATGCTCATTTTTTCCACTTAGACTTACTTTGCGTCCTGTAAATAGCGAATGCACTCTTGGCGCGACGCAGCTGGGTCTTAAAGGGAATGGGAGATGAGACTCTAATTGGTTTATTCTCAAAACACACCTATAACTCATTAAGAAAATATACTCAACCCTTTTAGACCATGCGCCTTGGCGCAGGGCAGATTTCCCGTCCTTAAATTAGCAAAAACGCGTCCTGACACGCCCTGAAAGCGTTTGAGCTCTGCACATGGACCGTCAAAATAGAGCCCATCGTCACTTTAATGAATTTTAAGAGAAGTTGAGGAATTAACATGTTGTAAATCCAGCAGCTCTGATCTCTCCACTGCAGTTTAGGCTAAAATGGTGGCACCCATCACTGATCAAACAATAGGTTGTCACCTTTTTTTTACCCCTTATGTGAGAAAGCATCAGTAAATCATAATTGGTTATGATCTGTAATTAAACCAATATCAAATGGTTCTTGTCTGCATTGCAATGCACTGTACAACTTTTTGATTTTGATACTCTGTAGGTATCGTAAAATGAACAAACGTCTTGCTGCGCGAGTGCCCTGCACCCCTGGCCTGCTGCCTGAGGACGTGATCCCACTGGAGCCAACCCGGAAGGGCTCTGGCATTACCAATGGTCTTCCCCAGCTCATCCCCAGAGGCACAGACTCTTCCACGTATGACCTCTTACTTAAACCCAAAATGGATGGCCCTAGTCTGAGTGCTCCTGGGTCACCACCAGACTCGTAAGTCTTTGCTACCTCTTCTGTTTCATCATTTCGTCAGCTTTGTTTGGAAACTACTATTAAATCAATGGAGAAACTGTTATAGCTTTGAAAATAAACACAGTCAAGCATATAAAGTACATGATGGCAAATCGATCACTCAAGCCTTGTTAAACCTTATTTCAGTTTTAAATAAATCATACCAGCCAATTAAATCACACTAGATTAGTTTTAAACGTTTTCTTTATTGTATTTTTACATCAATACAAACGATAACATTTACATATGATTACTTTTTTCTCTCTTTTAAACAAAGAGTTGCAACATCATGTTACTATTATATGTATTAGAGAATTAAAACACTAAAACAAATACTGAAAAAAGTAGAGGGAAGGGGCAAAGAACTGAAAGAAAAAAAAATGTAAAAAGAGGGGGTGGGTGGGGGGTTGAGGTGTTTCTACTCAATCACTGCTCTCTTGTTAAAGCACTTAATAAACGGTTTCCATGTTACATGGAAATTCTATTTTTTAAGAGAAAGTCCTAGCTTTTCAAGTTGCAGGCAAGACATGACATTTTTTGTTCATGTTCTGTAACGGGGAGGATCTTTTCATTTCCAATTGAGTAAAATCAATCTTTGTGCTAAAAGGGTTATAAATCTAATCACTGTACATTGATTATTAGATAATTCTGCATCATCACTGACACCGGATATAGCTAAAATAGGCCCGGGTATATTTGTTTTCCCACCATTTTTGAAATTATTTGAAAAACCGAAATCCAATAATTAACAATTTTAGGACAACTCCAAAACATGTGACTGAGCGATGCCATGGTTTGATTGCATCTATCACACAGTGGGTCTACGAAAGAGAAAGAGTTTTAGGGCTCTATTTTGATGGTCCATGCGCAAAGCGCAAAACGTAGGGCGCAAACGCTTTCAGGGTGTGTCAGGACGCGTTTTTGCAAATTTAAGGACGGGAAATCTGCCTTGCGCCAAGGCGCATAGTCTAAAAGGGTTGAGTTTATTTTATTAATGAGTTATAGGTGTGTTTTGAGAATAAACCAATTAGAGTCTCATCTCCCATTCCCTTTAAGAGTCAGCTGCTTCACGCCAAGAGTGCATTCACTATTTACAGGGCGCAAAGTAAGTCTAAGTGGAAAAAATGAGCATTTCACAAGCAAACAGTTAACAGTTTTTTAACGGAAAACTGTTAAACAGAGCATCTACTGCGTGAGAATGAGAGATAATGGAACTACTTTCACATTCGATCTTGGATAGAAAAACCTTTACGCACAGACATCAATTAGCCTATAAAAAATTAATTGCGTTTGTTAAGCGCAAATCTTGGTTTCAAAACTATTTCTAAATTCAGTTCTAATTTCTAGCAAACGAATAAATGAACAATAATGACCAAGTGTGGTCAAAATACTGAGTTATTTCCAAATACACCTGCCATGCCCCATATGGTCTTAAACCTGACAGGTGGGCAAATCTAAGCTTGTTTTTAATAAAACAAATATAAATACGGATATAATAAATAATACTGCTAATCATAATAACATTATACAAAAGCAAATTGTTATGAATGAACTGAAAAAGACTCCCGGGATGAAGAAGACATAAAAGCAGTGATTTTTCATATTTATGTAGGCTAGAAAATAATATGTTTTGTAATATTTTAATCCTTTATATTTATATTCTATATCTATTCTTATTTTATCCTATATATATCCTTAATATTAAATTTTTTTCATATGTAAAGAGATTTGCCTTTTGCTCTCTTGTGCGTATTAAGCAGTGTGTAAGCGAGGCGCAACTCTGCGCCGGAGTTTAGACCGGGTTTGTTTTGGTCTAATGAAAAATCTATTATAGGTTCTCAAAATAGCAACGCGCCAGCGGTCCGCCTCAGAACGCATTCCTTTGTAGACCAAATGAGCGCTAATGCATTTGCTATTTAAACAGCGTAGCGCAACGCCTCAAAACGACTCTTGCGGCAAGCTGAAACTACCAAAAGACTACTGCGCCGCGTCTTGCGCCACACTGCGCCGGGTGTATGATAGGGCCCTTAATACTTGATACACTGAACTACAATGAACTTGTTCTTGTGCTTCCTCCCATTGCCAGTTTTCAATTTCTGCTCCGAGATCCTCTTCCTACTCCATTTTGAGATGCTCAGATGAAACATCACATTCTAACTAAGATAATTTATTATATATAATTGAAATTCCTCCTTTCAAAAAATTATCACATATACATTACATGAAACATTAGGTCATGAAAATTTACTTCAACGTCATTGAATTTTAGTTGTAAAAATGTGTATGAGCTCTGCCTCTAAAATATCTAATCAACCTTATTTAACTTCTTCTAAATCTAGCACAAGTTGCTGGGTGAATATTTGCATTAAAGGTCTAGCTGTAACAAGAAGCTGCATCACTCACTTATTTCTGTCTTTCTCTCGTTCAGTTTGGATAAACCTGGCTTGTCTCTGACACCCCACCCTGTGCCTCATCCCAGAACGGAGCACTTAACCATGCCCAAGCAGGGGGCAGTCGTGCCCAGAGGTACACCGCAGATGTATCCACAGCAGCAGCCTGAGCTCTTCTATCCAGAGCCCGCCAGACCTCCTCCCTCAGGATCTCAGTATGATGCTCAGTACCCAGCAGGTGATTGCAGATGCTTGTCTGAACAGATTATGAAGACGGTGTGATTTTTAAGGTCTATGTTAAACTAGTGCAGCGTTTCATGCAGGAATTATCTAAGATTCTGGCCATAGAAATCTGCAGACGCAAAACGAAAGACATTTTGGACAATGTTTGTATCTAGTCAGATTGATTAAGAGCGACAATTCTAAGTACTCATAACCATCCATTTCTTTTCTTACAGGTAATCCTTACGCGTACCAACCTCCACAATACGTTTCTCACCGCTACATCCGTAATCCGCCTCCCCCGGGTGAGTCGGCAGTACCACCTTACCCGGAGCCCTACCCAGGTTACGGCCCAGAAAGCCAATATCAGAGCCACCACTCCAGTCCCTCTTTCTCAACACACACCTATGCACCGCCCTCCCATTACAGTCGCAGACACTATCCCGCACCCCCACCCCCATTTGCCCCTCCCAGAGATGACTTGGTCAGGATGAGCCCAGTTCCTTTGGATCTTCCCCCGGCTGCTATGCCTCCTCCAGCAGGGGCCGCAGGTTCCCTGTACCACACTCAAGAGACATCATCCAGAGACCGATACGCACCGGACGGGTACTATCCTGCTGGACCACACCACAGCCAAATGAGGTCTCACATAAGAGTGAGTTCTGTCTTTCTGAAAGTTTTCTCATGCTGAACGATACTACTTACTCTTGCATTAAAGTGTAAATAAGGCCTACCATGACTTTGAATAATCAATATTTGAATAACATAGATTTGGGATACATCAATATAAAGAGACATTTGCCGTTTACTCACTCTTGACTTGTTTGTTGTTCTGTTGAGCACAAAAGAAGATATTTTGAAGCATGTAGGAAACCTGTAACTATTGACTTCTATTGATCTTATTCTTCACTGTGGAAGTGCGCTCGTTTTTGCGATTGTTTTAGAACTTCTGATTCAGTTGCCTATGGGAGAAATGACTAGAAATAATTAACGTCAGAAAACGGTCAAACTAATTACTCTACAAACAAGTGCTTATATGACTATACAGACGAAGCAGAATAATATAATAATTTTATCGCCTAAAAAATGAATGGAAGTGAATGAGACCGGAAGTCTCGAGCCAAAAAGATTCAAAGATTCTTGCTCGTATGCGAAGAATGAGGTGAATAAGAGAAAAAACAAATTTTATTGAAAGTCAATGGTTTTGGGTTTTTAACATTCTACAAAATATCTTTTTTGTGTTCAACAGTTTTAGTGTGCATCTTACTATCAAGATATTGCAACTGTAGTATATGTGTTTGGAACTCAAGGTAACAATGTGTGAAGCCTGATTTTTTTTTTCTATCGCCTGACACTGCGTTGCAGACCTTTGCTGACTGCGTGCACACCTCACAAAGCAGATGAGGCTTTTATACTTGACACGTTCGCCGTTGAGATATTCTTTAAAGCGACTGGGGACGGTCTAAAAGAAATCCACCGTAAATCAGACGGATAAACAGAGAAGTGGAAAGTTTACGGAACTACGTCATATCATTAATATCATTCCAGATTTTTAAACTAATTATTTTAATGGAATATTTTAACGAATATAAAATTTATAACCATTCAAGGTTTTTTTAATTAAATTTTAATGCACCACTTGCTTTTGTTCATATCTCGGACAGTTTTACTTATTAAAGTATTAAAATATTAATGACAAGAGAAAATGGTTTCTCTACAAATAGATTTTTTTTAATCATGGCAAGAATAAAAGCAAATAAGTACACTTAATAAAAAGTACTAATGTTTTTTTTACACATTACTGTCTGGCTAGTTTCTTTCCTCTACTTATATGCTAAAAAAACAATAGTGGTCCAAAATTCCTGACCATTGTCACCAAAAAAGACCAGGAAAAACAGGGCATCCCTTGTTCCTTAATTATAGTTTTGTAACTATTAAATTGTTTTAAATAAAAAATTCTAACATATACATCAGTGTAAACCCTATAAATGATGGAAAAACATATTTCTGTAATTGTGTACTTGGGTATCCACTGTTGCCATGGCCTATTTTGGCTTTAACAACCTTCAGGCTTTAAAATCCCTCAAGTTTTCCCAAACATTTTAACAAAAACTTTCTTCCCTTCCCACTGCTGTTGCAATATCAAACCTGTCCATAAAGTTTTTAAAAAAACCTTTTTTGACAAAATTATTAGCCCCTTTAAGCTATTTTTTTTTCTTAGTCTTAACCATTATTATACAATAACTTACCTAATTACCCTAATCTGCATAGTTACCCTAATTAACCTAGTTAAGCCTTTAAATCTCACTTTATGCTGTATAGAAGTGTCTTGAAAAATATCTAGTCAAATATTATTTACTATCTTCATGGCAAAGATAAAATAAATCAGTTATTAGAAATGAGTTATTAAAATTATTATGTTAATAAATGTGCCGAAACAATCTTCCCTCCGTTAAACAGAAATTGTGGAAAAAAATAAACACGGGTGCTAATAATTCAGGGGGGCTAATGATTCTGACTTCAACTGTATATATATATATATATATAAATAAAACTCACTTCTGTTTGTTTGTTTGTTTGTTTGTTTGTTTGTTTGTTTGTGTGGAAAAAGAGCTCACCACAAAGTCATTTAATCAATGTAAAAACTCTCTCGTGTTGACATTCATTGGTATGTTTTCTGCTGGGCAGGACCCGTATCGCTCTCAGCCCAGTCTGGATGACTTGCATCGCAGGCGTAAGGAGCTGCTCATCCAGCTAGAGGAGAGGAAAGTCATCTCTCCTCCACCCTTCGCTGCCTCCCCAACTCTCCCCACACACCCGTTCCCCCACGACTACCCTCAGGAGGTGAGTCCTGAGGAGGATCTTTTAGCACTTATATCATGAAAAATCATCATAATATGGAAGCTTATATTCACAGAATATATTTGTTATATATTTGAGAGTTGAGTACTCAGTATAAAAGACATTCCACAGGGTTCCCATACTTCTTAAAAAAAACTGAATTTCAGAAATGAATTGAAAACATAGGTCCTTGAAAGTGCTTGAATTGAAAGTGTATGGTGTTATTTTAACTATTGTACTGTGTTACTTTCAAAAACAGAATGAAAAAAAGAGAAATTCTAAATTTTAAAATCTTAAATCTTAATGTTATTCATCAGGGATCACTACACTTGCTCCTGGAGGTCCGGTGTATTGCAGATTTTAGCTCTAATCCTAATCAAACACACCTAAACAGGCTAATCAAGGTCTTACTATGTATACTTGAAACACCCAGGCAGGTGTGTTGAGGCAAGTTAGAGCTAAACACTTGCAGGGCACCGAACCTCCAGGAAAGAGATTGATGACCCCTGTTATACATGAACACTGACAAATAATGCATTTCATCAATACTTCAGAAATCGTGTTTGAATATTAGCAGTATTGAATTTAACTAATCGTATTAAAGTTTCTTTAAACATGACTTTAAAACGACACATTCAAAACATCATCATCATGACATTTTAATGTGAAGTGTAAGTGAAATGTTAAGTACAGGAAGGATTTTCATAGTGCTATATTTGCTGGGGGTGTGAATTACTAAGGTGCTTGATCATGGCTCGAAATTGCGACCATTTTGGTCGCATATGAGCCCGAAAATTAATCTATGCGACCTCATAATATATCTGGGAGCATTAGTGCGACTGCAAATAATTGTAGTGCAACCTGATTTTTTCTAAAAACGTGCTGAATCGCTCTTCCCTGCCGCTATATTGGTTTATATTAGCTGTCAATCACTCAAGGTATTCCGCTGTCAGGTGACAGGGAAGGAGCTTTTATGACCACGGGAAATGCAAACGGCTAAAGAGTGAAAACTTAAAGCACACAGGTTTGCAAACCCCATCCAAAGCTGAGGCGCAGATAAGAGCGATCATGACGTGGTGAACATTGACCCGCCAGCTGAGATCAATCGAGTACGTGCTTTTTGGAGAAGGCGCCCAAATCTCGATGCGTTGCATTCACTGTGTGTTCAGCGCAAATGTCCGCTAAAAGTCAAATCTAATACTGTACATATCATCGCCAAAGAAGCTCGCCTTTACTAAATTTGAAACTGAAACTGCGGCTCATAACAAACTGCGGTAATCCGCCGGTGGGTCACCGCAAGAATCCTGCTCAACCTGCTCATAAATTGGGTCGGCTGACTCGCCTGCTTTTCCACTAACACAGAAAAATGAAAATCAGCTCAGACTGAACATTTAAATTGACACAAACTGAAACCAAAACTTTTAAAGAGTGATAGAAGTGAGACTTTACTTCCTTTTTTTTGTCTATTCTTTCTTGAGGTGTATATAATTTTTTTTTAATTTAGTTACTGAGCTGTTTTGCAGCTTTCAGCCTTGAATTTAATTATTTATTATAATCTTTTGTTTGTTTTGTAGCAGAATATTATTTATTAAACTGACATGCATATATAAACAGCAGTACAAAATAAATATTTCTTACTGCAATGCTTCATTTTTGTTTGATGCAAACTATATATTTATTTTTCATAAAGTAACAGACTTTTTATAGCAGAAAACTTTCATTCAAGCACATTCAAGGCAGCATGATGATGACAAATGTAATTCATTGTTACTATTATTGTCATTTTCATCATCATTAATATTTTATAATTATTCGACATTCATTTTGGAATTATTGCACACAAATATCAATGTCATCTCAGCATTAGTTAGATAGTTCTTTCTGGTTTTTGTTAGTCCTAATTGATGTTGTTTTCAAATACAATAAATCCCTTAAAATATAATTTGCATTGGTGCTTATTCATTTTTGGTGGGTCCTCCTAAACTTTTTCTGGTGCTCCTAAATGTTTTCTGGTGCTCCTAAATTTTTGAAGTTGGGAGCACCGGTGCTACCAAGTAAATAGTTAATTTCGAGCCCTGTTGATTAAAAATTATTTGTGAAAAAAATCCTTGAGTTTGGTGTGCATGAAAGAGTTGGAACCCTGATTATAAAAAGTACTCCGAATTTATTTAGTGGTTTTTGTCTTCTGAACGTGTGCAGTATTTGGAGGATGGCTCTAAGGCCTTTGGAAGTCGGGAGCCAGACTACGCTGGGCAGTATTCCCCCTGGTCATGTGACACCATAGGATCATACATCGGCTCCAAGGACGCTAAACCAAAAGATGTCAGTAGTGCTGTGGAGATGATGGCAAGTGATCTCCCCTTATCCTTTGTTTGCACAGATCAGCTAAGACTATCAGTAGTCACTGTTTCCTTGTATTTTTCCTATTCCAGACTGCAGAGGGAAAAGTTTTGCGTGAGCCTGCGCTGGACACACAGCGGCGCTCTGCAGAAGCCAAAGACGACGATCCCATCATTCCCTTTGGCCCTCTGCCCACTGTGTCTCCATTTGGTGCCATTTCGCGTACCTCTAAAACGGGTTACCAGACCACTGGGCCTGTGCAGGCCATAGCATCCTCACAGGCCTCAGGGCCCAAACACATGACGATGACAGGTGAGTGTACTTCTTTATAACACCATCAGATACAGATAATACAGCAGAGATAAGATGTGTTCTGGTTCCTTAAAGGTGCAAATTAAGAAAATCTCAGTACTTTGGAGTCAAATTTAAAACAAAAGCTCCAACACTGTTCATATAATCAGCCATTCATTCATTTATTTTATTTTTTTAAAGGAACTACATAAAATGCAAAGTTTTGTTTTCAGGGTAACCTGAAGGGTAGTAACTTGAAGTGTTTGGTTAAGTAAGCAACATTGAACCCCAGTTTAAGGTCATGTTTATTGTTCAGCAGATTTTTGCAGAAATTTCAATTCGAATCCGTTCAAGAATTGTGCCTGAAAAAAAAAAAATTCAATTTTGTTTCGTATTCTTAAATGTTATGTTGGTCAAATGGATTTGTTGTGATGCCCAAAAGAAAGCTGCCTCTGTGGCAGCCGTGCTTCAGACATCACTTCATTTTTAATGAAAATTTAAGAATCCTACATTTTAAATTGATGTGTATTGTAATGTCTGAAGCAAAGCTCCCATGGAAGCAGCATATATTCACCTCATCCCTAAACCCAACCCTCACAGGAAAGATGTGGTAGATTTTGGATGTTAAAATAGTTAACAGGGTGTCTACTGGGTCTTAAAATGTCTTAATTTCAAAAACAATGTGTAAGGCCTTAAAGTCTTTAATTGACTGAAATATTGTGTTGTAGGCCTTAAATATTTTTTTAACAGGTCTTAATTTTCCTATGTCCAAGTAAATCTACCCAATCAGGCTGAAACCCAATCAGGTACACGCAAACACACATGGACATGTATACGTTTTTGGTAAAATCTTTTCTTTTAGCAGACTATCCATATGGAAACCACAGCGGATGGGGTGGAGCGTCGTACCCCCAGCACCAGAGCATCAACTCTCAGGGACACTTCAGCGAGCGGTACGTGTCATTAGCCCCTTTCACACAGTGATACCGGTAAATATCCGGAAAATTTCCGGAACGACTTTACCGGTATATTCAAAAAAGCGCTGTTCACACAGGCGAGGACATTACGGGAATTTTCCGGAAAAGAGCATTCACACATCCATTCCAAAATACCGGTAAATTCTGACATCATTCACCACAAATGAGCTTTAAACGGCTGCGCTTGTATTTGTAAACATTTGACTAAATTACAAACTCTGTGGATGATCAATATTGTGAACAACTTTCGCAGGATCACTTTCGCATGTCGAGATGTTCATAATATGTGCGTCTGCAGGCGCTCATAGGCGCACGCAAAGCTTGAAGGTAAACAAACAACGGCTTATCATAAGCATCTCATCGATGATTATTTACACAGTTGGCATTAAGAAGAACATATAAACGTGATCTGACTAACTTCTAGCAGCTAAATGTGTCTAGAAAAATATTCAAAGGCTTTTATCCTCACAAACCGCGCGGACCTAAATGCGTCTGACTGTTGTGATTGGCTATAGCAGACGTCTCACGTCAGCTCGTTCTAGACGTGCACGCGCTTATTACGGGAATCTTCCATCTGCATTCACACAGCGCAGCATTCTGGCAAATTGCCGGTAATGTTACAACTTCTCTTTCTGGAAAATAGCCAGAACGAATTTACCGGTATTTTCAAAAAGGACCTGTTCACACATACAACCTTTCCGGAAAATTACCGGCAATTTTCCGGAAAGGTCTGTATGTGTGAAAGGGGCTATTACCTCTTATGGCCCGTTTCCACTGAGTGGTACGGTTCGGTTTGGTACACTTTTATGGCCGTTTCCACTATCAAAAGGCGAACCGAACTGTACCGTACCACTTTTTCGGCACCCTTTCGAAAGGGTACGAAACAGGAGAAAGGGTACCAAAAGGCGGAGCTAGACGCGCAGCTGAACGCTATTGGTTTACAGAGATACGTCATTCACTTGCGCAACAAGCCAGAATGAAAACAAAATACCCGCCATGTTTGAAATACACAGCGAGAGATTACAGCGGAATTATATATGCATAGAATAACGAGCCATGGTCGATCTGGGCTCAAACAAACCATGTCGTCGTGTTGATGAACAGCCACAAAGCCATGGAGTAGAGCAGAATCTACCTTGTGCCTCGTAGTTTTTTATGAGCCAGTTTGAAGTGCGAGCGGTTTCACTTTCTAACAACGTGCGCTTGATTATTGATGTGCTTTTGAAACCCGATCCTGTTAGACACTGACAAACACGTGAGTGAAGCGCGAAAAAAGGAGAAGCCGGGAAAAAACAGCACGTTATTTGTTCAGCAAACGTGAACAAACTACCTTGTTTGTAAAGGGCTGTGTGTTCATATTTTGCACTGTCATTGATCTGAAGATATAATTAAATCCTGTTCATAGAAAAGTTAGTAACAAACATTTATACAGAACTATTTATGTGTATAAAGCGTCTGTTTTGTGAGAAGTGCTTTTCATATGATATGTGAGTGACCCGTACAGCTTTATTGTAGACATTTCCTCGAGCGAGATTGATGCGACTAAAACTTTGTCGTACAACACGCCCACCAAAAGGGTAGTAGAAACGCAAGCCTGATAAAGGTGACCCGTACCGACCTGTACCAGGTGTACCAGTCAGTGGAAACGAGCCATTACACTTCCAGACCAGTTTAACCACAATGAAATTGCTATTTGTGGGCTTTTAATTAAAATTAGAATTCAGGCAAAAACACAGCTGTCTATTTAAAAAAAAAAAAAGCACTGCACTGAAAGATGCACTAACATTCACACTGAAGGTGGTAAGAGCATCAAAGTTCGTTCTGGCCGCGCTGGCGACAACTCTGTTTGAGCTCCAGCGGCGAGAGCGTCAAAATTCGCTGCATTGATCTCTTATTTAAAGGAGCCGTTGCAGAATATCAGCAAATCAGTTACTTTCCTGCATAAACAACATTCTTTCTAGCATGAAAATGTTGCACACTTTTTATAAAATTCATTTAACAATCAAAGATTAAGTTGCACGTGGTGTGGCATTGCTTCACTTATCCAATATGTGTCCATATGTTTGAAATATTTTAAAGCAGCAATACTGTTTTGTATTGCCGCATGAGATTCGCTTTTTTAAAGAAAAAAAGCATATAACATTAATGCACATTCGTAACTTGCCAGTAACTTTTTTTAATGTATATCCCTGTAAGAAAACATTGTGAATAATTGGAAATCCGGCAACCTCAACATTAAAACCCTTGGTGGAACAACTGTGGTTGGAACCAAAGTTCGCAGTGTTCTCTGGACTCCTCTCAAGTGGTGGACTTCTATGTTCTGATTGTTTGCCACCAAACCGCGTTTTAGTTTTTTATTACCATAAAGTTGACTTGATTTCAACTTTCTCGATGCCCACATTGGCGAAGACGCGCCACACTGCTTCTCAAAACCGGCTTCTGGCTACTTTGACGCTGTCGCCGCTTTTGGTGTAAACGAACAGTAACATAAATACAAACATTATAAATATTAAATTAATTTGTTGTTTCACCTTGTGTATGTTTCGAAGTCACAGTTTTTCAACAACATGATTCCAAAACTTATTTTTAGATGAATAATCCCTTTAGGTCTGAGAAAATGTCAAGAAATGTGAAGAACTGTGTAGGTAGTGTGTCCACAGTCCTATTGGAGTGATATACACACAACAGGTCTCTTTTATTAAAATTTCCTGACTTTAAAGTAGGAACCAAATCCTTGTGATTTTGAGGCCCACTGCTACTTGATGTGGCGTGCAGTTTTCCCTGCCCAATGAATTGATTGACAGCCATGTATTAACATTAGGGATGTAACGGTATTGTAAATACTGTCATACCGCAATATTCATTTTTTTCGATATTACCGAAGTCGCATGACTCTGTAAAACTATAGGTCTTCTGAGAAAATTTGCTCAGGCGAATGAAGCGAACGGGAGGTAGCTGAAACTACATATCCCATCAGCCCAGGCGTGGCCATAATCCTTTGCGGTCTGTTGTCGCTACAGATCCAGTAATGCGGAAATGGAGTGTGCTGCTAGTAGCAGAGATGAAAAAAAGATGCAAATGATCGAACCTAAAGCGGGTGTTGTCGCCGCGCGCATACTGAATAGCGGTGTTGTCGCAGAAACCTCAGTCCCAAATGAGAGGGTTTTTTTCTGTTGCAGGGGACATTGTAAATACCCAGAGATACCAGCTTTTACCAGATTATAGTTATATGATAATTTTCCTTTAAACCCATCTCTAAGTGAGTGAGTGAGTGATTAAATGTTGAATGTGATGAGTTTTCAACACTACTAAATTGAAACTTTATTTTTTTTACATGGTTTATTAATTTTTTGTTATTAAAAAAGAAGTTCCTGTTTCAAAGCTTACAGATAGATGGCTAATTTGTATGTCATTGACACTTTTGGCACTTTTTTGGAGTATTTTCATAAGTTTTGTTTTTCCTGTAAATGATTCAATAAATACCTTACCGTGACATTCATACCGAGGTATTACCGTACCGTGAAATTCTTATACCATTACATCCCTAATTAACATGTCTCTGTAGTAACGCGTATAATCATATCAACAAGGAAGGACGTGCGCAAAGCAATCGAGATTTAACAGATAACAGATAAAGATCTGTTCTGCTCTCTCATCATCATCAATCATCATCAGATGTGATCAAGAATGAGTTTTACAAGTTTAAAATGTTTTTTTCAAGGATGTGGAATTTTGCAGTCCACCATATCAAACTTGTTCATTTTAAATTATTATTACAGAAGTTCAGGTTGGCGATGTTGATTTGGCATGCAAGTGCTTAGTTAGAAGTTTGACGATTACTGACAATTACATCTGCACGTGCAAATTTTTGCGATAGTCTGTGGCCATCATCAGGGATTTTGCCTTTGATTCATTCAATGAAAGAACATAATGTCGCATCCTCCATGTTTTTTATAGCCTATGGTTTGAGCATACTAAACATATTACTTTCTTTTGTTTTTACCAGTTTGCCTGTGTCTGGCCCGGACCGTGAGCAGCTCAAAATTGAGCTCCAGCAAGTTAACCAACAGATCAGTCAGCAGACCCGCGGCATGGAGGTGTGCTTGAAATGCCCATTTAAATATCACTCACATTCACTGCTTGTTTTCATGTGGAGAAAATCTCAATGAACATGTTGCATGCGCTCTCAGGCTGCCAGTAACTCCATGCTCCTGCAGAGGGAGGCGTGTGCGCTGGCGGCTCAGCCCTCCGCTGGGGTCAAGTGGTCTTCAGGAGCCACAGTATCTAGTGAGCAGCTCAGCCGAGAGCTCGATCACGTAGAGCGAGAGATCAGAACTCGGGAGATCGCCATGGTGAGTTGAAGAGCTATGGATGAACGTCTGCATTTATTTATTCTCGTATGAGGAGCGTGTGCTGATCCAACCTGTTTTCCTGCTTTAAGGAGAACCAGGTGGCTCACGAATACAAGCTGAAGGCCATTGAGAACGGGCAGCCTGACCATAAAGCCCAACTGGAGGAACTCTCCTTAGCACTGGGGTGAGGGACTTTACAAATAATATTCTGAAGATCTTTAATTGGACTAATTGTCATCTAGAAAAGTCTCAACTTGCTGTCTGTAGTTAACTAAACCAGAGTATATTTTTGACAATAGCTCAAAATAGATTTTATGGGTCAAAATTAGGCCCATCTATATCCCAAAATCATCGTTATCTCGATAATAGTATATGCATAACCTGTGATGAATTACATTAATTTTATTCATTGGTTGTTTGTCTAAATTTGACCAATCGGATGGGGCCTTGATATCTTTATCATCACCTCCCCGGTAGTTGCTGTTCTGCTATTGGCTGTTGAAGATAAACACTAATGGTGGGAGTCGAGGCGAGAGAGAAAAATGACAACAGCCAATCAGGCTGAGGTTTTCACTCATTCGCAGTGTTTTAGGGTGCTTTCACACCTGTAGACCAATTGTTTTGTTCTGAAACAGGGATTAAAGTTGTTACAATGTTGCTCTTTGTTCTTGGTGCAGTTCGCTTTCACACTGCAATGTTTCTAAGCGGACCAAAAAAGCTAAAACAAGTCATGTGCGAGTAAACTCTCCTCACATTGGTCATTTATTTTTCAGTCCCGCTCAGCTGTCATGCATTTTTATTTTAATTTATGACGAAGAGTGATGAGACATTATAAGCAAAAAGCTGTGCTTTAATTTTGAATGGTCACACCCACAGACATTGTCAAAAAATATAAATCAGACTTTTTTTTTTTATCCAGAGCCGTTGGCTAGAATTATGCTTTATAGGCTTTACATTATAGAGAGAAATAACAGATAAACCAAGACTGCAGTTCGGTTAATTTTCCTAACAAATAAACAGCTCTGGGTACACATAAGTCTCTGTAACACATTGACCCACTAAGCATTGGATGAGACGTTAAACCGAGGTCCTGACTCTCTGTGGTCATTAAAAATCCCATGGCACTTTTCGTGAAAGTGCAGGGATGTAACCCCGGTGTCCTGGCCAAAGTCCCTCTATCGGCCCTTACGACCATGGGCTCCCAATCATCCCCTTCCACTGAATTGGCTCTATCACTGTCTCTCCACTCCACCAATAGCTGGTGTGTGGTGAGCGCACTGGCGCCGTTGTCCTGTGGCTGCCGTCGCATCATCCAAGTGGATGCTACACACTGGTGGTGGTGTCGAGAGACCCCCCTCATAATTGTGAAGCGCTTTGGGTGTATGGCCATACACAATAAATGCGCTATATAAATACAAATTACATTACATTGTTCTTAAGACATTTTTCTACAGGAGGAAAATGCAAATTACTCCCAAATACTTCAAATATAGTCTGTGTTAGTAGATGCAAGACTTAATGAAATCCAGGCATAAAACTGTATGACAACGCTTCAGATGACTAGATGACTCTAGAGCCTACAGCTAATCAATCTGTCAGATTCTGGAGTGCTTTACAGATCTAAAGAACATTATAAATGGTAAATAATCTTAAATAAGATCAATGCATTTATAGAGATCGTATAAAAGTATATAATTTCAATCACATGGGAAACGGAGGCCACGTGAATGGTTTGTGAGCACAATTAAGTGCACACAGCATGCCATATCATCTGACAATTGTAAGAAATAAGTCCAAAAAGCAACTGACTGTGCAAAGCCACATAAAACAACACAGAAATATGATGTATATGCCGAGTTCAGCAGCTAATCAGCCGGAATCAGCTGAGGTAAAGTGACAGTGACCAGTGAGACCTAATTGTCACTTAAGTGGCCATGCCCTTAATTATGCAGACTTAATATACCCTAATATAAAGCAAACGGATGAGTTCTAAAAAATTCACCCCATCACAGTTGTCATGAGGGTAATATTAGCTATATGAACCAAAATCGTTCTTTGTAACAGGCTGTAAACACTCTTTTTTTGTGCTGTAAAGTTGGCCATTCTAACAGTGGGCTCAATTGAAATTTGCTCAATATGGGGCCAGGACTAGCAGACTTTTGATGAATTGCAGTTTCGGTTACTTCCGTATTAGCTTCCCGAGGGAGAGCGGGAGGTTGCCGCTTGCAAATTACTGATAAAATTAGTTCCTAATTAACAACTCACGCCCAGAAGTTAAGTGCTAAACTGTGATAAATGTCAGTTGTGCTGTTTAACATGACGATCTGTGTAATTTAGTTATAATAGATGGATATTTCATCTGACAAATATTCTGTTTATGTAAGGACCGGAATGGGGAGCCGCTGGATTAAATGAAGAAACAAACAGCAGATTAATGTGTAATCAAACATGTTGAAAACCACAGCCCTAAACCGTGCTCTGTGTGTTATTCATTTGTTTCCTGTTAATCATCTCAGTTTAGCTTCTCTGAGGGTTAATTTGACCTGATTTCATGTTGCTCTGCTTTGCCTTCATAAGCGTTTGAATTGTGTTTCCACTCATACTCGTTCTCTCTCTCCTGTCTGTTCTCTCCATCAGTGAGGTGTCTAACGGATCCAGTGGCATGAAGCCAGCCAGTAGTATGGGCGGATCTATGCTCTCACTGACCAATAAGACGTCTTCTCTCAGCCTTTGTTCTGCTGACCAAGCAGCGAGTAGCGCAGACCTTCAAAAGAATGGTGTTGTTCACTCTTGCTCTTAAGAGTGTATGTATACACACACACACACGCGCGCACACACAGACAGACAACCTCTCCAGAGGTCAATACTCCTCCTCGGAGGGCTTTGAAATCCATCTCTTGACCAATTGGAGCCTTTCAAGAGATTTTTTTTAATATTCAGATGAAGTTGATATGAGGGACACACACACTTACACACACACACACCTGCATGCTGCTTCGTGCATGCACCGACACGAACTTCTCTGTTGTTTTATTTAGAAAAATGAGCAGTATCTGCCGTGATATACATTTTCTTTCTTTTTGTTCTGTGAATGAGCTTTTCGTTTTAATGACTTCTGATTGCCTGGAAACCAGGGCATCTGAATAATGCTTACTTTGTTGTTTTCTCCCCCCCGAGTATTTCAAGAAAGAACAGTCAACCCAAAGCTAGCACAGAACGACCCGAACCAGTTGAATCTAGTGTGGTCAAAAGTATCGAGTTTAAAATCATCAATTGCCCGCAAACATTTGAGGGCATTCTTAAACACTACTGATTGGTCATTGTGTTCACGTGCTCAGCAGAAATGACTGTGATTGGCTGTGAAGGTCATCAGTTCATCGCTATTCACCGAGTCGAAACTGGACCAACACTGGAGCGTCGATCCATTAGCAGATCGCTCGTATGTCAGCTCATGGACAGATCAGCTGATAGACGCGACTTTGAAACATTCCAGTGTCTGTGTATCTGCATCTGCACCTTTTACAGCCAATCACAATCATTTTCTGAGCACGTAAACACACTGGCCAATTAGCAGTGTTTAAGAACACGGCAAAATGTTTGTGGAAAATGGACGTTTTTAAAATTTCAGTATCGAATTCAATACTTTTTGAATCTAGTGAAACGAATTGAGTTTGGTACTGAAATTTTAAAAACATTAATTTCGCGCAATCATTTGAGCACATTTCTAAACACAGCTAATTGGACACTGACATTTTAAAAACATCCATTTCCAGCAGAATTTAATTGGTCATTGTGTTCACGTGCTCAACAGAAATTACTATGATTGGCTGTGAAGGTCATCGGTTAACCAGTCTTCATCACTGTTTACTCATATGCACATATACTGACACTGGAGCGTTTTAAAGTTGGGTCGATCAGTCGATCCATCAGCGGATTGCTCATATGTCAGCTCATATGTTGTTACCCATATACACAGATTCTGACACTGGAGCGTTTTAAAGTCACATCAATCAGTCGATCCATCAGTGGATTGCTCATATGTCAGCTCATAGACAGATCAGCTGATAGACGCGACTTTGAAATCTCCAGTGTTCTTGTATCTGTGTTTGCACTATGTGAACTGATGATCTTCATTTCCAATCACAGTCATTTCTGTTGAACACGTGAGCACAATGACCAATCAACAATGTTTAAGAACACACTCAAATATTTGCAGGAAATGAACTCTTTAAAAATGTCAGTACTGAATTCGATACTTTCGACAACACTAGGGCAATCAAAACCAGAATTGAGCGCAGTCATTTTTTAGTGGCGGCGGTGCTGTCCAAACGTTTGACTCCCTGGATCTCTGCAGCCTTGAATATGATCTGACTCACCAGGTTTAAAGTAGCACGGAGAACCTTTTATGAATCCATTTTTATGGACCGTTAACGCGGCTCTCCCCACACGACGCTCGACCGTGGCAGTGTGTTGCTGTAAGGTTATTTCGATTGGGCTCTGGAAGACACAAGGGGGAAAAGTCATGCCTACCTCTCTCTCTCTTGATATATATAAATACAAATACATATAATCAGCTGCGAGGTTTTCTTTAATTTATGGTTTGGCTGTATAACTGTTAAGGAATTTGTAAATGTTTGGTCACACGTGTCTGAAGCGTTCTGTTTTATAGAATGCTAACAGACGTCTTTAAATAAATGAAGAGCACTTTTTTCCATGTTTTCCATGAGTGTGTGCTTTTTTTTTAGTAGAGGAGTAGCGACACTTGACTTCCCTTGTGTTCTCCAGAGCTCAGTGGTTGTTTGAGAGGATTTTCTGCCTCTCAGAGCCACAGTCGAGTTTTTTTTTTTTGTAGGATTACAGCTTATTAGGAAAATATTTCATCATTTTTCCCTAACTTCTGTGAAGTTGCATATTTGGCTCTCCTGGTTGAGTTTGCATATTCGGGTCTTGCCACTAAATCGCTGCATGGAAATATTCCAGGGAGTGTAGTTTCAGTGCAGGGTACCGTAGCGCCGAACAATTGCGTTGCAGTTGTGACACTCTGAAAAAACGTTTTCGTCAATCTGCTTAAAAGGATTGTTCACTTGAAGTTAAAAATCTCATCGTTTACTCACTCTTGGCTTGTCACAAACCTGTTCAATTGGCTTTCTTCTATTGAACACAAAAGAAGATTGTTTGAAGAAGGCTGAAAACTTCCGTAGTTTTTCTGGAAGTCAGTGGTTCTTCAATATATCGTCTTTTGTGTTGGACAGAAAAAGGAAACTCATAAAGGTTTGGAACCACTTGAAGACTAAATAGTGAGTAAATTTTCATTTTTGGGTGAACTATTGCTTTTAATGTGACACTATTGGGTTACTTTGTAAATGAAATCTTATCATTCACTCGCCATCACATTGCTACAAATTTGGATGAAATAAAGTAAAATTTCCATTGTGTGGACAGAAGTAGTTCATAGAAGCAAGCAGGTTTGTAACAACATGATGGGAGCAAATGACGACAAAATTCATTTAGAGTTAAAACGATTCCTTTTACGTAAAACCCAAATGATCATTTGTTTCATTTTGTCTTTCTAAACTCGAAATGAGTTGGGCATCACTTCTTCAGAGACCATTACGAGTTCAGCAGGAATGAGAAAAGCAGAAAGTCTACTGCTACTCGGATGTTCTAGAAGTTGCGTTTACGCCCTATTGAATGGATCTCTCCATCGCCCTGCTTTTACTCGAGCGTGTTTAAACACGACATATTCGACGCCTGTTTCCGGACGAGGCCCCATAAACGAAGAGAACAAGATTATTTGAAGTCTGAAGTCTTCCTATAGTGATGACATTCTTCACGTGTGACATTTTGTTCTAGTCTCTTGAGACCGACTATGATATACAGCTCCAATTTTGGGTGCAACCTCTTAACGTGTATTCTCTTGTGGGTTTTATTTTGTGCTATAGCCGTGGTGATCTAGTTGATTTCTCTTATTATGATGACTTGTAGTCAGTCATTTGATGTTTTTTGCTCGTGAATGAGCACACGCAGCCTTTTCATGCAGTCGCCGAGATGGGAACTCCAGCCGTGCCGACAAGCAGAGATGACGTCAGTCTTTGCTATTGAGGTTTAAACGTACTTATTACACGATGTCCATCGCACTCGCTGAGAAAAAGCTCCAGGGTGTCGCCTTTCTTAACGCTAAATTTATTCCGATGATTGTTTGATTTCTCAGTTTGCTTTTGACTTGTTACTAAATTTTCAAGATTGTTTCAATTTGTGTGGTTTAATTATCGCTGTTGTAGCCCGATAATTAAAGCGAAACTCATAACGACATGTCCAGGCCACATTTCAGCAAACAATTTGAAGAAAAACTGTATATGATCATTATTATTTATTTTTTGTATTGTAACATTTTCATCCTCTCAATTTTTCTTTATTTGCGTCATTACTTAAATAGTATTTTTTGTTCATTTCGTAAACGACAAAACTTAACACAAATAGAAACATGACCAGTCAGCTGCGCCAGTTACAAGACTGAATGTGCGCACTCCAGTACGCACAGCTAATGAATGAACAGCCCAATGCAGTAAATTATTACCAAATAAATCATGTTCGTTAGTTTTTAGTTCGTATTTTGACTAAATTTTAGTCTCGTCTTTTTTCCGTCACCAATAATGCATTGTTTGTTGGTTAGATGAGTTGATCGTAGAGGGCGCATTGTTAGTTTTCAGTCATGTTACTAGCGCAGAAGGCCTGTGACGTTTCTGTGACTCGCGCTATAGGCAACTAACATTTTTGGCTTATATTTACGTTGACGGAATTAACTTATTTTTCATCTAAGGTATCGTATTGTAGTAATTTAAAGTCACAGCAAGTACTTGCAGCTTTTTTGTATATGACAGATATATTAAATGGAATTGTACTTGATTTTGATGAACTTGTCAATGCAAAAAAAAAAACATAAAAACAACTAAATATAAAATAATTGTTAGCTAAACTCATTTTTTATGTGAAATATGCCCTGGTCATGTTCTTGTCAGGTTTCCTCAAATTGACCAAGATGTTTGCGACACTACCCATGATTATGTGCCACCTCAAAATTTGAGGATGCTACACTGGGATTGAAGCGAATCGGTTTTATATTCGGAAAAGGATTGCCCGCTTCTTAAAAAACTGCACAGGACAAGTTTTAATCCTGCAGCTTATCTTGATGTTTCTTTGAGACAGACATACAAACATGGCTAAATATAAAACACTGCTTTTATGTGGAGCTGTTTCCAGAAGCTCCGCTAACACGCGTTGCTCACCATTAGCATTGAGTTTTTCTTCAGTTGTTAGGCGCGAATGCTAGCATGGTGTTCTGCTTTGCGATGCATAGCGAGCGCTTGACACGTGTGCTGAGATAATTTTTCCACTTTCGTTTGGCTTTCACAGAGTGCCCAAAGCTGTACTATGTTAGCATTCTCGAGTGACGCACTGCCAGGACGCTGCTTTTCTTTGAATCTTTGGATTGAATGGGAACGTGCTGTCTTGTATTTAATATTTGGCAGTTGCTGTTGGACGTTTTCTTCTTCTTCCCTCTAATGAATCAGTGATCTCACTGAGCTAATTACTTCTGCGTGGATCTATTTCTTTTGTTTGTTTGTTTGTTTTACAAATTAACGTCGAGCATCCACACCTAGCAACTTACAGGAAACGACTCGGTAAGGCTCATTTACAGTTTTGTGCATGAGGTTATTTTTCCTCAAGTGAGAAATTGCAGGATAATGTGATTTTCTTTGAGAATGGGTCTG